GGGTGCGTCTATCCAGTTTTCTCTCCCTACTAATTGATGCCACCGTCACTTCAGGCTCACGCCTCAAGTTGCAAGTCCTTGTGCTCAAACATCCGCCATCCTGCTCTTGAGGTTAGCTTCCACCTTCCAACGCTACCCACCTGCAACGTAGCTGATTGAGGTGCCACCTGCTGCAGTTGCTTGCATTTCATTGAGAACGATCACTTCACTACCTACAGAGGCCGCGGAATTGGGCCAGGGATGTATTGGATAATATTACATGGGAGGGTGCAGCTGAGAAGGCGAGACGCTACACTTACAGCTCTACTTGAGACGATGGAAATTGAACAGTGAGACATGCGGTTCAACAGCATGGACGACAGTAATATGGATGTAACGAAATATAGCAATGTTTGTTTTTATCCAAGGAAAGTAAGGATATCTCTCGTCGAAGGTCTCTTCTCAGGGGCTGACCAGCAGCCCTCGACCAACTCCCATAGACGGTCATCCAAACCCCTTTCGGTGGTCGCAGGATCACTAGGACGTGGAGGCATCTCCCCCCTAGAAAGTTTGATGATAACATGTGTTGTGTGGCGGATGTTGTACCATGGTACTTGATGGGTCATAATCTAAGAATACCATGAGATATGTAAATTGTTCTCGAATGAAATTCTAACTTACCTCGAGTATGGTCATGCCATATGCGAATATGTCAGATTGGGTGGTAAGCATGCCACCGTCACAGCAGAGCTCTGGTGCAAGCCATCTTTGGGAATTTGAAACTCTGAATCAAATTGGGTCAGTACTTCGCAAGTGATCGCATTATCAATCTCGGTACCCAGCAGACATCGTAAAATTTACACCAGTGACATCTTCCAAGACCTGATTTCACATATCAGTGATGTGGTTAATCAACTATTGGAATGTGATGCTACCTTGGCAAAGCCGAAATCGGCCAGCAGGGGGTTCCCGCTGATATCGACAACGATGTTGGACTAGTAGCACGATCACGTCAGGCCCTCAAAGTGTAGATAAAAGCTACGCACCGCTTTGAGGTCACCGTGCACGATTGGGGGTGTCATGCTGTGCAGGACATTCACACCCTCGCAGATGCCTTTAATCTGGAACGAGTCAACATCATATCAAACATTCTCAGAAGACTTGTACATACCAGAGCATAATGATCTACGGTGGGGTACTTTTTTATATACTCATCCACTGTGCCATTGACCATCCATGGACTTACGACATACCTGATCGAATGACATGGTAAGAGGAGTGAGCAATCATTCGGGCAGAAGGGCTTACGGGAAAGGCCCGTCATTTTGACAGAAACCATAGAAAGGAAGGATGTGCTCTCCGCGGTCGGCTTCCCACACACGTTTCCAGATCTCCACCTCTCTCTTGAACCTCTAGAATATGATGTGAGGATGACATTTCGAGCAGAGGGGAGTGATAATGTACCCGAAGCGTTTGAGGCTCGCAGTGAACAGCCCGTAGGATTTTGATGGCCACCTTTTCCTCGTTCAAATAGAGGCCTTCCCATATATCTGCTGATCCCGTTCCCTTGACAGCATATTGCCCGATGCGTTTCACTTCATTGCGTTTAAGGTTCATGTTCGGTAAAAGTGACTGAGACGAATGTTGTATGTGGTACAGGTTGCTTTCCAGACCACGATCTGTGGTTGGAATCTGACCCGGAAGATTCTGCATAACGATTAGTTCATCAGGACTAGTCTAGCAGTGAGTTGAAGTGACCCTTTGCATCATTTTCATGATCTGATTCAGATCTGCGGCCTGCTTCATCTGTGCGACTTGCATGAGCTCCTGCTGGTTCCTGATGTCGCCCAGATACTGCACGATGTCTTCCTTGTCTCGTGTACGGCTCAACTCAAAGTTTGTCTGCCATGCATGAATGGACATGTGAGAGGCGACCTGAAGAGGTGTTAGGACAATTTTGCTAGAGCACGCTTCTGTACCTGTAGTTTGACCAAGCAATCTGAAATATCTGCATGACATTGCTGGATGGTACCAGCCAGCTCGTCTTGTTTGACGAACAGCTTGACCCTGGACATGGAGCACCACGGCTCCATTCTGTCCAGAATACTTCGAAGGGTGCTGATAAGCAGATCGGTTAATTGATCGGAGGTCAAGTCAGACCACTAACTGATGGGCACCCGAACACAACCTATCCTGATGATCCGGGGTTAAATTCTGCCCCTCGTTGTGAATGACAGACATGAGGCTCAAGCAGCGATCTTGGAGTAGAACGATCCCATTTCTGCAACAGGCTGTTCAGTACTCGGATCTATGGACCATCGAAGATATTACACACTTATTGGCTTCTGCTGCTGCGAGCATGTTGATCAATGCGACCAATACGCCTGCAGCGGGTGCCAGCCATGGCACTGGAGCAAATTGAGCAGCCGTCTGTGCTGCACCTATGATCGTCCGAGCTGCTATATTGGCCATTAATGACAGTATGGCTCGGGATGTGAGAGTGTCAGTTGTAGAAGTTGAAGAAGGGAAGTTGATGAGGCGCAACCTGCATAATTGCAAGTTGATCGTGAGTTTATATATTGCTGTGTGGATGTGGAATCTGGATTAGCGCTCATGCACATGACGGTGCGATTTTTGCGGAAAGATCCTCCACCTAGCTACGGATATGAGAATATAAGAACAATCAGAACTGTGCGCTTGGAATTCTTTAGCTTCCAGGGACCCATAATCACCTCGAGCTTCAACGCGGTGCTTCAAGTTAATGGAAGTTCTTACGAAGAATGTTCATGGCGGCGCTGGGATGATCACGTGCCCGGCAGACTTGCTGTGCTGCTTGTTTTAACCCTTGTCATGCACAGGAGTTGTCATCACAATGGCTCGAATGTTCCCTACGTCTGATCCGTCCCTGCCGCCCTATAAATCTCTCATAATACAAGGGGATTATCACCCTTCAGCTCCAATTCACATGTGTCTGTCAGTTCCAATGGGTGCCAAGGCTTTACTTCTTTCTTCTGCTCGACAGGCTCTCATACGTAGCCTTCAAGAGTACAACGACGAATGGTTACTTTCCAATTCTGGAACAGGCAATACTTGTCGCAGTAGTTCCGAGGTGGACATCTTGTTGGTCCCTTTTTGTGTATGCGTGTGGGCGTAATGTGATCAATTTGCCCAGCTACCCTCCAACCCCAAATCACCTGGTCGTGTTATTATCCGCGTTTAGAACACATGAGGCCTCAGATCCTGTACCTCTTGATTCCAAAGCAACTCTAGATTCTGTTCCGTCATTGCTTGTTTTGCACGAGTTATCTGCGTACTTCTTACCCATGAATGAAAACAAACCGTATGTATTATTCGCTCTTGCTGTGTGCATCACGTTTTTAGGAAATTCGGTTGTTGTAAAGGCACACTATCGCCTCGTATCTCCAGCTTGTTAGCTACGCGCTGGCGTTGGCAAGTTTCCTCTCCCCGGAATCACAGTGCGTCGGATGGCAGTAAAGTATCCATCGATAAATCGAGCATTTAATGGCATTTAGAACTCCTATGCGTTTCGCTCTATTTGATTCACAACTTGACAAACTGAAGCTTCCTGTCCTACGAACCCCAACTGTCCCCGTGTTTGACGGAGAAGAGAGCGGCGATGAAATACCTCGACCCGAATCCGTCGCTTTTGTGGCACACAAGTATTTCGAATGGGTGGGCACGTTTGACCGATGTATTACTAATTCATTTTCTTTCGGTTCACCTTGCTGATCTATTCCATCAGCAGACACTAATTCTTCATCTGATGGAAGTGAAGTACGCCTATGCACGTTCACGTTGCACAAGCAAGGCAGTGACATTAAATCGGATATCATGTGGCGGTGGTCAGAAGTTCCAGAACGGGCGCACAGCCGCTGTGAGGGACTTGCAATCGCATTTTCCTGGTAACAACGTGGGGGTCCAATCCCGTGGTTGGCTTTGCCTGAGATTTCTGAACACATGATAGAGTTGAATCCGGCCCGCCTCCCCGATCATTTCTATGGTGGAACCAGTCACTGCCATTTCCTGCAGCTGGGTAATAGTCTTTTCGTCAAACAGCCCTTAGATTGCGCTTGATCACTGAGTGCTAGGGGAGTTGAGTCCTGCCCCCCTCCTCGACCATTGCTATGGTGGAACCGGTCACTGTGGTAATACCTTGTAGTCTCTTGTAATAGTCAGAACAAAGCAAACAGTCCTTATAATTGCTACTAGTGGATGCTCATTAGAGTTCACGCATTTTTCTATTAACTTTACAACACATCCACATAAAAATATAATTTTTTGACGAACGGACTAGTTCGACATCGAAAGTACGAAGCCCGTTAGTTTGTTCTTTTAAAATCGACATGTTGAGTCCAGCGGAAACTTCCGCGCAGACGGACTCGTGGGAGTACGGTGGGCACTTCAAGGGCCCGTAACGCTGATGCCGACCGCACACTTTTGGACACGTTCCGTAAAGCTAGAAATTCAGCTTAGAAGGTTGCCAGCAAGCTGTAGTGTCCGTCACTAGACCGTCACTCCGACCAAATAGAACTACTTCGCTCTCGACTTCTAAAGTTCAAACAGACTTCTGACTGACTCGACTGCATCTTCCGCTACTCAAAGAATATGGCATCAGACTCAGAAGAGCTCTCGTTCGTCTCTTTCATTCTGAAACCAGGTTCATCCCTCCATCCAACGTTTCTTTTCGCTGTCGATGCTGCATTTGCACTCCTGTTCTTCATCTTCCTTTGGTTAGCGTACCTAACGAAAGGCAATCCGCACTTCTTCGTTTTGATGGGTATCCAGCTCGCTCTGTGGGCGAGCGTAAAATGGTACGTCGTGTTGGGCATACAAATGTTGAACGTTGAACAGTAAACTGAAGTCAATATATAGGTTTGTGCAAGAGCTTAACAAAGTTCCTCCTGCGAATGTGACGACTAGTATGGAGACGAGTACAGACAAAAAAGAACAATAATCAACGATTTATGGTATACATGACGCAGAGCAAATTATAGAACTCTTCATCGACGTGCCTTGTCATTTCCTTCATGCCAACGTTTCATTCGTTTTGCGCTTTCTTGAGCCAGCGCAAACACTACAGACCGGTGAGTAAGCGTCCAAGCCATAGTTCTCGGCAGTACTGACATTCCCTTTCTGTACCATCAAGCCCTTCTCTAAATGACTGTGCAGTATCAGTAGAAGGTCCACCTCCTCCTGCAGGGCCAAGCGCCGCGAAATGCTGCGCTTGATCAATCACCTCCAGCAAACGCCCTTTGAAGGCCTGAACGAAACAACCATTAACAACATCGCACAACGTATGCAGACAATGTACCTTTGTCAGCACTTCTGATATACCATTTGCCTGCTCTTCGCTCAAACTTATAGCCGGTCAGACATGCTCCCTGAAATCAACGGCGAAACTCACATATCCATGACCATCTTTCCAAAACCGTACCATAGTCCACCTGCACCAACCAAGTTGGATAGCTTTACGCTCCGAGGCTCAGCCTTGAGCGCGTTTCTTACTCGTGTGCCAAAGGGTGAAGGGATAGTGAAGTCAGCCCAGTCACTGAAGATCCGTTTATTCGTGTGCCTACGGGATATGCCTTAGACGCACGAGAACAACATGATATAGGCTAGCCATATCGGTATTGGAGCCTTCGTCAATGATTTGATCTAAGATAGCTTGAACAATGATGATACGCGTGAAAAGGGCAATTGAGATGCGCACATCACGGTCAGATCCACCTGCGAGGTGACCCATGTCGGGGATGTCGACTTTGAAGGTACATTGTATTTTCTAGGCTAGACCTTGAGTATTAGAATATCAAGTACATCACACAGACCTGATTTTCAGCTAAGATGGCATCAATGGAAAAATAGTCGTTATCCATGATGGTGGTCGCGTTCGTCAAAACGCGTTTGTGGCTGTCACTTTGGTACAGGTTAACACTCAGTACCCAGTACTCACGCGCACGGTTGTTTTAACCACCAACCCTTCTATCATGAACCACATACGTCAAGCATTACTTTCAGCAAGACGACCGGTTCGTCCGACTTCACTGGCACTCCTCCGCTGTCGGCGAACATTCTCCTACACATCGCGACTACAAGCCTCAGAGAATGAAGACACCTTCCTTTCGCAATTCAAGAACACTTCAATATTCGGGAAACTTGCGGACAAACCAGATGCTTTGATGGCGCTCCGAGATTTTGCGGAACTCATGAAGGCTCAAGGTCAGCCGCCGATTGTGTAGTCATTCATACATATTTATGCATTTTGCTTCCAGGTATTGACGCAAACACCCCACCCTCAACATTCCAGATGATGAAGTTGGCTGCGAACTCGGAGTTTAGGGAAGCAGCGCAGAAAGTTGTCTCTGAGTTACAAAAGGCGGGTGTGGACCTCACTTCACAGGTGAGCAAATTCTTCTCGGAGGTTTACGCTCTCGCCGAATTCCTTTTGCCAGGATACTATACAGGAGCTTATGGGCCTGTCCAAGAAGGCAGGAGGGAATTAAAATGGGCTACTATAGCGTAAAATAGGTGCCTAATAGTACTTCCTAGTCTCTGATATAAGCGACTTGCTGGCCTGTGCCTTGTGTTGCAATTGTCAATCCTTTGGCCGTCACGGTCATGTCAGATGAGGCAGGACCTTCCAGCACGATACGTTCCGAAGCCCCAGAAAGACCCCTGCCATCTACACCATTCTATTCTATCGAATATCCGGGTTATGTCAAACCCGAATCTGTTCCGTTGGCGGTGAGTAATCTCGGAGGGCATTCACGCCTAGAAACCGCGTTCAAACGCACCGCGGCCAAGAATGAGGCGCTTCTTGAGCTCAACCTACGACCAGGGAATCCATTTGCACACCCAATACCGGGAGACATAGTCAGCACCAACAATATTCTATTGAAAGTCGTGAGACGGAAACGAAGGAACCCAAACGGAGAATGTGTTGGGGAGTTCACTGCAGAGGCGGTGGGTGTTATCCCGAAGACTGCACGGTTTCGCAGTGAGTCCAACCCACGTTTACAAGTGTCTCACTAATCTGTCTGCAACTATGAGGTATGGCGGATTATCAGTTTCAGCCTGACATGAATGATCCTTTGGCCCAGCTGCGTCTTGCAATGGATCGAATGGATGGTAAGCACAGTGTTCCAGTCAGTTGATCCGCAGACCTCACATTCCGAAGTCGATGCAATCCGACAATATTCGATTCCGGAGGAAAAAGAGGACTATGTGATTCCAGCGTCCATCCACCCACCCGAGCTAGACCCAGCATTGGCAGAGCAAAGCGAGCAAACCTCTGGACCTCGCAGTAACTTGCGCTTATTCCCTCCTCCGCTGTTCAGCCGTCAAAACGTACCGCAAAACTACAAGCACGTGATTTTGCTCGTTCTACTCTAAATTGCTGACCAGCCCGCAGCTTCAAGGCAAACCCTGCTTCGATTGTGACGTCCCTCATCAATGAAGAAACTGGTGAAGAACGCAAAAGGCTCATCAATAAGGGCCGATGGAAAGGTCATGGGCCAGTGACGATCACTTTCAGCGATCCCAATGTTTGACTTGTCCTCTCATATCTCTGCAGCAATTTCTGATTCTCTGTAATAGGTTCCTGAGGGCCCTCCTCCAACAGTTGAAACTGTGCGCACTCAAGCTAATAGTGAACTTTTGAATCGAATACTGGAAGTGAGCTGCTCTTTATCCTTCTTGATTGGTTGCTTGCTCATTTGAGAAGTTCATGAATGAACGTCCTGTGTGGACTCGTGCTGCCCTTTACAACCAATTTTCGCCCGCAGAATTGAGAGAAATACACAAGTACGCGCTACATCATGCGATCACAAAAGTCTAACCAGCGACTACAGCTCGAAAGTCATCATGCCTTTGGCTGGATATATGTTCTCAGATGGACCATGGCGAGATGCCATGGTTCGATTTAAATATGACCCTCGGAAAGAATTGGATGCCCGAATGTGAGTTATGTACGTTATTGCTATTGGTGAACACTCACTGTCAAGGCCTGAAGATATCAACGGATATATTTTCGGAATGCCAACCACCCCATGGCACGGCCTTCCGTGGTAGCGCGTCGGCAAGAGGGCAGGTCAAGTACCACATACATCAGCAGGTCCATCGAGCAAGAGGAGTCGTTCGAGGCCGATCGGCGGTAAGCTTTCATAATTGTCACTGTATCTGGCTTGATGTGAACGATCACTAGTAAATCACACATATTTGACGGGAAGACTGTCACTAAAGAGACAGCCGCGTTCCAATTATGCGATATTCATGACCCTATGTTGAAGGAGATGGTGGAAGATGATGAAGATCTCCGGGAAGTCTGTGACGTGAGTCGCTGATGATGTGAGAATGGGTTTTCATTGATCATATGTATTGGTAGGAACGAGATGGGTGGTATAGCGCACAGGCACTGGAGAGAATCAAGACCATCCTCCGACACAAGTTTTTCTCACTATTGCAAGGGTATGTGGCAACAGAGGAGGAATGTCAAGCCCTTCTGGAACAGGATGCCTCCGGCAAGTCACAAACCACTCGTATGAAGCGCCTTAAATTCGGAAAACATAACATGGCGAAAGGGGCTTTGCGACCAGAAGATGCAGCAGTGCGTATTTACAGGTCTTATCTCACGATACTTTCTTATCCCTTCCCCTCTCTCACAGGCTGCGAGACTGCAAGCAACTCTGGACAGGAATGCCAAAACCCTCCTAGCGAATAGACGGGAGATGTATGGCGGTCGAAATTCGCAGACTGCAGACAATTCACGATAATGTGATGCGCGTTGTGTGGTATTTCGATAAACAAAAGCCATATGCAATAGGCGTGGATGATGCATTGTTATATTTACAAGTGGTTGAGATGATCTGTAGACAAGGGGCTATATGCGATTAATGTGAGGCGCATCTGAATCATCTGATCCTTTTCGAAATCCAGATTTATTGTGCAACGTGATATCGATACCCCACCTTGATTTGAATGTAACGTACCCGTGAGAGCGTGAGGAGCATCTGGAGATATTCGGTGAACTACTCAAGCTCATGCAGCTCCATCATAATTGGGGACCCGAATGGCGATAAGGCATCGCGAGCGCTGCGGACAGAAGACACGCCGGTAATGCAACTAGTACTAGGTTCCCTTCGGCCTAAGGTAAGACTCAGGACTTGCTAAACCTGCAATTGCAAACGTTCAATCCCAAATCGGGCACCGGCCGAATCCAATTTGATCGGCCGAGCAACTTTGTTTTAACAAAACCTGCTTTAAAGGCTGGATGGTGACAGATATCTATATCATTTATCCCCACCACCACCGTTTATCTCAACATCATGCCTGGTACAATCACTGGTCCTCGAACACTTTATGATAAAATTTGGGACGATCATGTCGTGTGAGGCTTCCCCTGTCTGTGCATTAGACATATACTGATTAACAGATAGAGATGTGAACGAAGACGGCCTTGCCCTCATTTACATTGACCGGTACGCAAACAGACTTTCTATCTCATTGATGTGAACTCACTGTATCACAGTCATCTTGTCCATGAGGTCACAAGCCCTCAGGCATTTGAAGGCCTGTGAGCACAATCATCAGACCCGCCTTCGTTACAATAGGCTAACAGGACTCCCTTAGGAAGAATGCTGGTAGGCCTGTTCGTCGTCCAGACTGTACTCTTGCCACTGTGGATCATAACATTCCGTATGTTGAATGATACATCTTTGCTTTGCATAGGCTCACATTGCGACAGCACCATTTCCCGGAAAAGCTACAAGTCTGTGGATACCTTTGTCGTCGAACCCGACTCCCGTGCGCAGGTTATGCAATTGGAAGAGAACGTGAAGGATTTTGGGTTGACTTATTTTGGGCTATCTGACAAGCGCCAAGGTTTGAACTAATGCAGCTGTGTGCGTGAACGTTAAATGACACGGTACTTTCCAGGTATCGTGCATGTCATTGGTCCCGAGCAAGGCTTTACGGTAAGTCTTCATATCTATCAGATGTATGTAACAGCATAAACTTGGTTTGAACCTTACCAGTTGCCTGGCATTACTTGCGTGTGCGGTGACTCACACACTTCAAGTATGTTCAACATGCTACTTTTCGGTGCGAGTTGACGTTGATCTGATTGCAATAGCACATGGTGCCTTTGGTTCCCTGGCATTCGGTATTGGAACCTCCGAGGTGGAACATGTTCTTGCTACCCAAACTCTCTTGCAGAGGAAAGGCAAAAATATGCGCATCAGCGTCGATGGTGAGCTCGCCGAAGGCGTTGGCTCAAAAGATGTCATTTTACACATCATCGGTGTCATCGGAACTGCTGGTGGTACCGGAAGTGTTATCGAATACGCTGGCTCGGTATTCCGCAACATGAGCATGGAGGCTCGCATGAGTGTTTGCAATATGAGCATCGAAGCCGGTGCTCGTGCAGGCATGGTTGCACCCGACGAGATCACTTTTACATATTTGCGGAATCGTCCCCTCGCTCCCAAGGGCGAGGAATGGGACCATGCAGAGGCTTACTGGAAAACTCTCAAGAGTGACGACGGCGCTAAGTTTGACATTGAAATCAACATTAACGCCGCAGATATCCCTCCTACCGTCACCTGGGGCACCTCCCCCCAGGATGTTGTCGCGATTACTGGCAAGGTCCCTGATCCGTCCACCATGTCTGACCCGTCGAAACGTGCGTCGGCAGAGCGGGCCTTGGCTTATATGGGCCTGCAGGCAAACACGCCCATGGAAGACATTTCTCTTCAGAAAGTGTTCATTGGGTCCTGTACAAACAGTCGCATAGAAGATCTTCGATCCGCCGCCCGGATCATCCTCGCTGCCGGTCCCGATACTAAGGTCGCCCCAAATGTAGAAGCCATGGTTGTTCCCGGATCTGGTCTGATTAAACAGCACGCTGAGGCGGAAGGGTTAGACACAATCTTCAAACGTGCAGGGTTTGACTGGCGTGAGGCCGGTTGCTCAATGTGCCTAGGCATGAATCCAGATCAGCTGGCGCCTGGTGAGCGCTGCGCCAGTACTAGCAATCGCAACTTCGAAGGCCGTCAAGGTGCCGGTGGTCGCACGCACCTCGTCAGCCCCGCTATGGCTGCGGCAGCAGCTATAACGGGTAAACTGACAGACGTTCGCAAGTTTTTCGGTGCAGATGCAGAGGAAAAGGTTGCTGCTGGTCCTAAATTAACTCTCGCGAGTGCCTTGGACTTCCTAACCGAGTTTACCGGACCTGCAACTGAGCCAGAACGCCCATCGCACACCCAGACCGCAACCACTACCTCTTTGCCGACTGCTTCTTCTGGCTCCGGAGTCCCGAAGTTCGTTATCGTGAAAGGCATTGCTGCACCCTTGCACAACGACAATGTTGACACCGACATGATCATCCCGAAACAGTTTTTGAAAACTCTGAAACGGACCGGTCTTGCCAACGCTTTGTTCTTCGCTCAGCGCTTCGATCCGAAAACCGGGGAAAAGACGGATTTCGTTCTCAACAAGTCTCCTTACGACCAAGCCAAGATTCTCATCTGCACTGGCAAAAACTTTGGTTGTGGTAGCTCCCGGGAGCACGCAGCTTGGGCTCTGTGAGTATTCTTGCATTTCTGCATGTCGACATACTCACAAAACCCCTTCGACAGGAATGACTTTGGAATTCGTTGCGTAATCGCACCAAGTTTTGCAGAGATCTTCCGTAACAACACGATGCAAAATGGCATGCTGCCCTTGCCCCTGTCTGAGGAGGACTGCAAGGACCTTGCTGCTGATGCTGAGGCAGGTTTGGAGATTGAGGTGGACCTCGAGAAGCAGGAAGTTAGACGTAGTGGAAAGCCGGCTATCACCTTCAGCATCGATCCATTTAGGCGACACTGCCTTGTCAACGGATTGGACGATATCGGCCTGACCCTGCAGAGGGAGGAGGCAATTACCTCATTTGAGGAGAAACGTAGTACTCTCTGGTCGTGGTTGGATGGATTCGGATACCAGGGTCAGAAGATTCCTGTTGCAGGCATAAAAACGGGCAAGAAGATGGAATGGTAAAGGCGAGAAACAAGTCCTATTAGTGGGATCTACAATTATGTACTTGTACTTGGATCGAATGAATTTCGTTTCGCGTGAAATAAAGGATGTTACTTATCAGACGACGTGTCCACATGTTTTCCGCTAAAAGTAACAACCTGATACGGTGCTTCTTTTACATAAGGTAAGCACTACTGCATTTTCGCTTCTTAAATATCAGTGCTTGTACATAGCTACGGACAACGAGAATGGCCCCTACCAAGTCTCGAGAACCTCAGCCCCCCAAAGTCCCATCCAAACTGACAACTTCCAAGCCTGCTCACCGTGATCCGATTCAGTTGGGTACTCAGCCTAAAGCTGAGCCCAAGCCACCCAATGCCACTGAGTCTGCGACAAAGCCACAGCAGGTTTACACTAAGAAGCACACACATCGCTCTAGCAAACCTATCATCAACTGGTTTCAGCGCAAGTTATCAGGTACTGTGAAGCCGAGCAGGATTGTAGATCACGCGTTTGTACCGGGCAACTCACAGAACGCTCCAAACGGCAGGAATGGTACAAACACGTCCCATTCCAGGTCGAATAGCCGTTCGGTATCCTCTCCGTTACCACAGCTCACACCAAGTTCATCGCAAAGACAGGGAGTAACTGGGAATAGCAGTCGAAATGGTTATACCGCATCTCAACGGAAGACTATTTCTCTAAATGGAGAGGGTGATTTGGATACCGGTTTCATACATTCAGATGACGAAGATCTTGACACGTCGACTCATCGCTCGTCACTAGCTCGCGATTCATTTTGGTCTCCTGCTAGCGCTCTCGAAGCAGATGAAGATGCTTCTCTCCGCCCCCTCCGCCCAAGTTCACCCCCCTCTCCTTCACTATCCCACTCCTCTTCTTCATATCTATCCAATCCTCGCACCTTCAGAAGTATCGCCGCGAGCACCAAGCCAACAACAGTACTAAGCGTTGACCTTGGTCCTGCCGGAGTAGGACACATAGCACAAGTTCCCATCACACCGGTATCCCAAGTTAATCCTCGTTTTCCGCCCCATGGACGGACATCATCTACCGGAACAAACAGCGGGTTGATAGGCAGTGGTGCATCCGTTACCTTCTCTGCTCTCCCGCCTTCTCTTCAATCATCTTCTCGCCCGCCTTCTTCCCTGAATTTCAGCTCATCCACGCCAGTATCATTAGGCCCGTCATCTCACATGCCTGGGCTACAGGCCCCTCTGTATACCGCATATCATCCCAGGAACAATCCTCGTCCCTCTTCTCCACCCATGGATAATGCTTCTGTTTTAACCCTTGCTTCTTCAGCTTATGCCATGCCCGGGCAACGCTTAACAATGGGATTTACGGGTCCAACTGCACTGTCGGGACTGGTCGGAAGTGGAGACTCGATTTCTCATTTAGAGGGCAGCTTTACCGGAGATGCAGAAGGCGACGTCATGAGCCAGTTTGTACTTGGAGATGATGATCGCCACGATGCTGATGTGGAACGCGACGTAGATGCCAGCGTGCGTGCTCTTCGTCCACGGAGCTCACGGAGAGGAAGTTGGGAGAGCGAGATTAGTGGATGGAGCGCTAGGATTCTAGGAACGGGCGGCCCCATAAGCATGGGCAGCAAGAGCTTGTGGACGTACAATAGCGCCAAGACTGGCGGACCTCTGAGTGTGGACGATGAAGAAGTCACCAGTGGTTTGGAAACCTCACAGGAAGAAAAGAGTTCGACGGACGGACCAGATCAAGTTGACGTGTCTTCACCTGAGACGCCTGCTGGGGGTGACGGATACGACTCAGCTAAGGAGACGGTGGTCGAAGAATCCTTCGAATCTGCTGATGATGTTCCTGCTACCCTTGGCCGGGCTTCAGGACCCATAGCAATTCGCAAGCTTTCCCTAGCGGAAACCTAAGGCATGTGCATGACCGTACATCGGTGGATTCCCGACTGAATGTTTTCCTCTACCATTAGAATATGTGGGAGGTGATATCGATTTCATTCTTGATCAGTGAGAACTGCCAGGGTCAGATACAATCTGGTGTCACAACAACTTTCCTTCTTGCTACTTTATGTATGTTCTTCGTTCATGTTATACACTACAGTCACCACTCTCTTTGACGTTGTTCTAATCATCATTGGCACGTGTACTATCACACTCATGTACATAGCTCTACATCTCATTCTAAGTTTATCATCTCATCAAATTTATTGTTAGGCATTTGTTCGCTCCTGCCAGTGGATGGAAGTAACCACGCAGTCTCGTAAGATACTTCCGAATCCTCCACTGCATAGTGAACATGGGACCGGGAACATCCCATAATATCAATATTAAATACGTGACAGTGCATGCGAACTTCCGGATCAGCCTGAGTGCTTCCCAAGTTCGCATGGTCACGGTACCGGTGCGCGCTGGCTGGTATTTTTCGAAGCACGTAGCCTTATTATTAATCTATGTTGTTTGGCAGCTTCATTTACAACAACAGCTGGGATGGCGCTTCTCGAACACTTCCATACGGCCTTGGTTATCTGTGGAGTGCAGCCAAAATGAAATTAGGTCTTGGAGTTGCTGGTATTACCATCTCCCTAATGGCCGCTACTGCCCAGGCGGACTGTCCAGACTACACTACGTATGCACAGGTGAATGCTCCAAGATGGCTGAGATTAGATTTCTTGCTCATTAGCACAGAGCCCTCAAGGGAATCCCTCCTCTGGTCCCCTGGGATTGCCTTATATGCGGCCTGACCCTGCGTGCAGGACTTTCAACAGCACTTCAGTGGAGGTATGACGCGTTTTATGTTGGTAGGACAACATGTAACTGGGGAATTATCTGCAGAAAGTTATTCTAGAGATGAAGTCGCGTCTGAAAGACCCTGACATCGCGCGTCTCTTTGAGAATACTTTCCCAAATACCCTCGGTACGTACCTAGTTGCTGCAACAACGGACACTCATAAAACTCTGGCAGATACTACTGTGAAATACTACAATGAGGTATGAGTGATGGTGCCTGTTTTCTACGCGTTCTAACTGCCGAAGAGGGAGAACTTGGCATTTATCATTACTGGGGTGAGTTGCTTGCCTCCAATGTGAATAACATATTGATGGTTGCGTCCAGGATATCACGTACGTTGCTCCCTTTCTTGGATTCTTTATATTGACGTTTCATTGCTGCTTGAAGTGCACAATGGCTGCGTGATACTGGCAACCAGGTAACTCGCTCTGCAAAATTTGCAATTCGAATGTATTCAGTATTTTCTTCCAGTTTTCCCATTACCACACCCTTCTCTCTGTTGACGTCGACCTTGCCAACCTGGTTAAGGCTGTAATTAATAACGAAGCTCGCTATGTTTCACAGTATCCTTACTGTGGTGCCTTTCAACCACCCCCTGAAAGTGGTTTGGGACCCTCTGTCAATGATTGGGCTCTTGGTGTCCTCGTTAATCCGTCAGTTTTTTGCTCATCGTGTTGGTTCGTGTCCTGTGATGCTCTTTGCACAGCCCTGTGGACAATCAAACAGTGTTTGAGTGCAAGGTTTGCATCTTGACAATCGTAGTCTTTTGAGCACTGACCTGTATGGTATCTCCAGTATGAAATCGACTCGCTGTGTGGCTTCATCAAGCTTTCCTCCTCTTACTATGAAGCAACAAAGGATGCATCCATGATGAATGCAGAATGTTTGTCTTTTATTCAGTCTTGTTGTGTTGGGGTTTCATTCTTGGTGCAGGGCTTGCCGCAATTGATCAGATCTTCCGTGTCATTAATGAGCAGTCTCAAGCTTCCTTTGGTGCTGATTGGAACTTCATCTCTTACTACAACTGGACAGGACTTGCAGGCTCCCTTGCTGGTGCAGTAAACAATGGCGGAAATGGTGAACCTAAAGGATATACGGGTATGGTCGGGACACACCACAGGCCCTCTGATGACTTGAGCACATTCGGTGAGCTTACATGGAGGCGGCCTGGTTCCTCTGATCATGTGGCTCGCTTCTAGCTTTCCTTACGCCAGCCAATGCCATGCTGAGCGTTCAGCTAACCAATCTGGCTACCATTTTGGACCACGCTGGTGTGGCCCCCAATGTTAGCAGTCAGGCAAAGCACTGGAGTAAAACGATAGAACAAGCTGTTTGGGAACACACAGTACGTCGAGTCTGGCAGAAGGTCTGCATTTTGCTGATATGTTTATCGCAGGTTGTTGATGGCATCTTTGCATACGAGACTAATGGTATGTTTTTGACAGCTATCTTTGCATCACTTATGAAAGACTCTTTGAGGATTGGGTTCGCGTTATGTGATGGACGATGCAAACGTTCCGGTAGGCGTCAAATACATTGTCTTGAAGCAAGCTATAACCTTGAATAGTCTCTCTTGTCACTTCCCTACCTTGGCTTCCTCGACATGGATCACCCTGATTACGTGAAGACCAAGAAGATGCTCATGTCCCGCGGAAACCCTTATTATGCCAAGGGCAGAAGCTTCAGTGGTATTGGGTGAGTGTAGTCAAGGAAGAATGAATGTCTATTTCTGACAGAAGGCAGTGGGCCTCACATCGATGTCTGGAACCCTTGGTAACGATTGGCAGATTGCGGCTGAGATTTAGTGGCCTGATCGTTTCTATATAGGCCTATGTCTCAGGTTAGCAACATCTTTGGAACCAATGATGACGAGGAAATCCTGTCCTCGTTGTATACCATTGTTAATGTGGGTGCCGAAAGATATTGGTTCTGCCATGCTGACTACGCACACAGAACACTGGCGGCCTTGGTTTGATCCACGAGTCGATCAATATTTACAACATATCAGATTATACACGCCCTTGGTTCGCATGGGCTAATAGTTATTTCTCTGAGATGCTTCTGGACCTCGCGCAGAGAAAGCCCCACCTGATCTTCAAGGACAGTAAGCCGTACACGCCTGGACAGTGACGCATGATGCTGTATCGTGTCAAGTCACCTAGATATTGATAAGCTTGTCTATTATGATGCAATACCACGTCCACTAGCACTGTCTGGAAATGAACTTGCGCACTGTGCTGCGGCAAAGCGAACTAACCTGAGTGTGGGTGATGGTATTGGCGGATGCTAAGCCACAGCCAACCATGTTCGACCATTGCTGTATATATTCTTGAATCAGTACTGCGATCAACTGGACCGCTTCATGCTCAACTGGTAGACATTTCTACGATTCATTCTTCCCTCGACCTTAAACATTTCTTCCTTCTTTTCTTCATATTGATTATATGTCGTTAGCGTCGCGCGAGATCGGAACACTAATTGTTGTTGTCTTGAAAGCGGTGCGCATCGAGTTCAACCTTCTATCATATATCTCTTTGACATGGCGAGCAGAAAAATCTGCCCAATAAGAGGCATATAGGAAAGCAAGCACCATACTGCTGCGCTTTCTTGAACGAAGAGAAACGTCGTACAAAGGCGATCAAGCGGGGTGGTCAACATCCGGAATGGGACGAAGAATTCCGCTTTACTGTATACGAGGCTACTGACGATGAGCTGGCAATAAATTCGCAATCAACGGACACGCCGCCGCGCCCTCCGCCGAAGAAGGGTCGGCCCAAGAAGATAAAGGGCGGGAATTCGATGAAGCTTCAGTGTTATGCAGATGATCCCCGGGAACCAGACTTGATCGGAGAGACAGTGGTCGACTTGACAGAGGTTCTCACAAAGGGAGAAACGGATGGTAAGCTGGGATTTACACCTGTCTTCAATCTGATTTAATCAATCTTTTGGTAGAGTGGTTCACACTCATGAACAAGGACAAATATGCGGGAGAGGTATACATTGAACTGACTTTCTGGTCAAATGTATGTTGTCAATTTCCTGGCCCACTTGTCTTGATCATCTTATGGGATGGTATGCAGGAACCTCCTCCAGTCAAAAGAATTACGCCGAAACCGGCTGCTGGTAATAGCAATTACGGCGGTCCAGGAAATTTCGTGCCAGCCAGTGGCAGTACCTCCTCATTGAACGGGTCCAGTGCACATTCAACTCCTTCCAGACTTTCTGTCTCTGGCAGCCTTCTTGATAGCCATCTGCCGTCTACTATGCGTTCATCACACTCGAGAGCAGAGCTCTATGCACCCGCATATGAGCAAAGGAGCCGCCTATCGCCATCACCTGCGGATCAGCTTGTCAACGATTTTGGGGAGCTAGGTGTTATGGATCCCAGAAGACGGGAGAGCTGTCCGGTGTGTTTCCCTTCTCTGTGGTGTAGGGCTCGTCATGACTGGTGACTTAGCCCACACAAACGATACGTCCCTCAACATCTGCGGGCTTTGGTTCATTACCTTCGCATTCACACTCATATGATCAGCATACACTTGATAACGGAACATTGATGGTCTCACACGATGGGGGGAGAGCAGCTTCTGCCTCACCATCCATTATACCTTCTGGTCCTGCTCCATACTACCCTCCTTATGACAGCGGTTCGACTATCAACCATCCTCCCCCTACCCCGTCTCGACAAGGACACACTGGACCACGATATAGCTTGCCAACTTCTTCTTCGGGATTCATGCCGATACCATCACCAGCCTCGTCTTCTTTTGGAACGATGACATCGCACTCGTCAGAGCCATCTGGTTTCTCACTGCCGGAAAGACCCCCATTACCGATCCCTCCATCTTACCCTCCAGGTCCCGCCAATCACTCGCCATCTCACCAGATTGGCCATCCTTCCCACCCCCCTCTCCCAGTACCTATCATCACATCGGCACCTCCCCCCAATGCATCTCATCGGATCTCACATTCATTCAGCACGCCGCAGCTACACACTCATGATCAGTACCAATATTCAGATCCCCATGCACAATCTGTAGCCTTCCCATCACCATCACAACAAGAGTACATAGCATCACCTCAGACATATCACACATATGCACCCACATCGCCATCACCACCTCATGAGTACGCATCTACTTCTCAGCATATTCAAGTATCACGAGGTTCTAGACCACTGCCTCAACCTCAGATGGCTAACAATGCACCACGAACTCGCCATCTTTCCGTGGCCGTACCTCCTTCATCGAGCTTTCCTCAATCGCTGAATGCGCGTAGCCCACTCCCCTCTAATTTTCCAAATGGTTCGACCTACCAAAACATCCCACCACCACCACCCCTTCCAACCCAGTATCATTCCACCGCACAACCTCATTCTGGGCATCCATCGCCTCAGGGGGAGTCGCAAGCATCCTATGCTCCTTTTCCGACTTCACCGGCTCAGCCGCACTCAAATGTGTCCCCAGCACGGCCCAGCCTCCCGCAGCCTCCCATGGGATATCATCCAGTGCAGCCTGCATATCAGCCCCTCCCTCAGCCGCCCCCGCCCCCACCCGATCTGCCACGTCACGGACAGGTTCATCCTCCCCCTTTATCACTAAATGCTCCACCCGCCAATCATTCTTATTTCCCTGGTCCGCCCCCTCGGCCTCCACAGATGATTGATCATTCTCATTGGGGTCAGCAAGGAAGCTACGGGCAACCAGGGTGACAGGTAATAAGTTGAATATGCATAGTAATAACGTTCCATCGCAGTAGCAATGTAAACATAGGTTGGATTGTAAATCCTTCCATTTTCTAGACATCCACGGTTGATCCAGGGCACTGTCGCCTGCTAGCACGCAATACCTGTAAAAACTGCTGTATCCGGACTTCATCTATAAAACAATACTTAACCCGAAGTCTAGCGATATATTGAAAGGAAATAGGGAACCTCATTCTTCTGCGCCCCGCCGCATGCAGATAGTCGGACTCATCTTTTCTTACTTTACGTCAAGTGTCTTAGAACATCACGTCTTAAGCTTCAAAGCTTCACCCTTCACGCCTTTGTTCGAGTCGTTCGCCTCCCTCCGCACATTCTCGGTTTGCCTATCATACGAGTCACTCGCAAATATAATATAGTCTGACTCTGCTGTAGATGTCATCTACCCTCGTATTCATTAGCAGAATAACATCCAGTGTTTTCCCACTTTACTAAGCCTCAAGCTTCAAGTTCGATATTCTTCAGAAAGTCTCTGTCGCACGTCGTAAATCTATGTAGTGCCTTCAATCCGCGCTTCCTCTACATCTCGTATTGATGATCATCGAACTCTCAACCAGTCTGAACAGAGGTGTCAGGAAGATTTCCATTGTCTGTTCGTTCTTCCATCTGTCGAGTCCTTTCTGCTCGCCACTTGGCAATCTCAGTTTCCGTGCCGACGAGTCCTCGGCGAGCAAGGTCTATCCTGGCTTCACGGCGAATAGCATGTTCAGACTGCCGCCTTTCTGCCTCGTGACTTAAAAGGGCGTTATCTGCCCCAATCACCAGACCGGCCATGGTGACTGCAAGGAGTCAGTGGTACACTAGTAGTTGCCTGAAGCGAAGATTCTTGGCACACTCACATCCGGAGACCAGAAATGCTTTGAACGGTAGTGTCTGTCGTCTTTCATACGAGGTGTGAGTTACTGTGCAGCCATCCGTCGTCACTCGCACCGGAAGAGTGGCCACGCATAATGGGCAAACGTGACGACTCCAACGCCGAAAGCTCCTGCTCGGGCTGCTCCCTGTTCAATATCTTGGCTTCAGCCTACGACTTAACGAATAGCACGCGGAACTATTGCCATTCGCACCTTCGTCGCGGCCCTCGCTTGTACGGTATATGCTGCATCGACTTCCCGCTGTGACTGGGAACGATTTGCCATTGTTCGGAGTATGTCGGAACGAAACGAGGGCCCGGTGCTTGTGAGATTGCTGGTGAATGATATGTTCACGTGGTACTACAAGCCTATCGTTCCAATACCCATGCTCTGTATACAAAAATATGACCATAGACAATTAGAGGGACTAATTAATGTAATAATCACTGGAGCTGCGAAGGCTAGAGCGTGCCGCACTTCATCATTTTATTTGTGATTCAATGTTATCACATCACCGCGTTTTGAAAAAGCCAACAGGTCAGACTCCGTCTTCAATACCTGCACCACCTGGTCATTGCTGAAACACGAGACCTTCGGTGAATCGAAGTTGAATGAACGAAACCTGTACGATAAGGTGAAACCAACATACGGATGCAAGTTGCTCCCGAACATTGCGCAAGTCCCAGAGACGCACACTACCATTGCGGCTTCCCGAGGCGAAAAAGTGAGACCAAGTATCTCCTTTGATGAAACGACCATGCAACTCGGTCGTGAAAAAGCCAAAGCGTTCAGCAGGATGCTCCGGAACCATACGATGATCACGAAGCTCGAATTGCAGATCTCGATGGCCAACCTGTAGTCACGTTAGAAATAAAATCATACGACAATGAATTGCCATGCGCACCTCAAGTAAGGTGCAGAAAGGTGACTCCGTCTTATGTGCGTGATACGGAGAATTGGATGTCTTGAATGTATGTACAACACGTTCCGGAGATAGGTCCCATAAATGGACACTGCAATCCGCACCAGCGGATATGAGTTTGTGACTAGTGTCACGAATGGGAAGAAGGGACTGGATCACAGATGTGTGCTTAATTGCCAAAAGTGTCGAGGAGACGCCCATAAAATCAGGGGAAATTTTCCAAATATGAACGGCATGATCATGACCTCCACTGGTAAACATAAGTGGTTGCAACATTGTCGACACAACACTCGCCCCTCCCTTCTTGGTCCTATTCCAAGGACGATTGACAACGCGAAAATTTGTTCCCTTACGAATTTAGATAGATTTAAACGGTGATAATGAACACCCGCAGATGCTTACCCTGGAGGTTTGAAATGTCAAGTACGAGATTTGTTTCTCTTCACGTGCATGGGCCAGAACGACGACTGACGTATCACCCGCGTGAAGTATACACGCGTCATCAACGGACTCTTGAGTTGGGGCAGTTGGCCTACGTAAGTTATGCTGGAGCACCAGGTTAGGCATACCCAGGCTCTCGACGAAACCGCGCATAGATACGGTTACAAGAGACGAATTCCAGTGTGCGTTGAGTATGCGGCGCGGCTTATCGTGGGCGTCGAGAAGAAGACGAGAAGGGCCAGGCCTAGTGCTGAGCACCAAAGCAGGATCTGAGGAAGAAATCTTGTTCGGGCCGTTGACGAACGTCTCGGAGAATACTTGAGCTGGTTCTTTTAGAGACTTCGCAACCATGCTGCCATCTGTGCTGATAAGATCCCTCAGTGGAACAATATCATCGGAATCACTGTCGGGTATAACAATCGGTTCCGCCGCAGATGTGACATCCATTGGGGAGGGTGCATTAGAAGATACTGAATTTATCTTTAGAACTCCAGAGCGGAAGAAACGTGTCAGTGTGGGAGGGGGAACAATCACATGTGTATCCGGAGGATCAACAGTAAGGTCGATGATCTCTTCTGGAGGAGATACAACTCGAGATGGAAAAGCTCTCTGCTTGCCTGGTATGGCGGAACCCTTTATTTGAGGTATTGCTGCGTGTGTTGAGTAGGAGCCTGGAACTACCTCCAATGACGCGGGCGTAGAATATTTCGCTAGCTGTGGCAGTCTTCGAGTTGAGCTGCTTGCACCCACGATAGGACTGACTTTGGAGGTCTCCTCGCCATATACAGAAGCACAGCCCTTTGCCTACGATTCAGTAAGGGAGTTAATCACGATCGAAGTACAGGTAAGTCACCATTGCAACCTCCTGAGTGCTATTCGCACTTTTATCACACTGGGGCTCATTTCGAACAGTATGCGCCCTACCGCTAGGCAAATCACGTTGCACGGCTGTTACACAAAGGAACCAAAAGCCCGTGTATTAATAACTGTCATTTTGGATATTTTGTTATTCACCTTGACTCATTTTTCCGGGCACAGAACGATCGTTGTGCACTGCTTTGTAAGGGAAGAAAACAGCCTGCGCTTCATGATCACCAAGGATGACTTTTGGGTATTGTGAAGGTAAAGGAATGGTGGTATAGGGCAATCCTCGTCTCTGGAAGTGCCTCTCTGAGCCTTGAGACACCCTTGAGGAAAATTGCTGAGAATTGACCTTGATTCGCTTGGGCTGACGCAAGTCCGACTGTTCTAAATGGCCCAAAGGCTCCTGTTTAACATGATCGAGCGAACGACCCGGTGTGTTGGATGAAGAAGAGGCTGAGGAAAATTTATTTGAATGATCCCACGGAGGAGACAGGGTAGAGTGAGGGGTGAAATTCCTTTGATTGAATGTGCGATATGGCGGACGACCTCGAGTAGAATCAAAGCCTCTGAAGGATCCACGATGTCCTCCACGACGAGTAACTGTGATAGCGGGTACAGTGGACTTTCCCTTGCGATCTAAACGGACTTCATTGGGTTGTCGATCTTCCATCTGGTCTCATGCACAGGGACCAGCTGGTTCGGAAACGGTGATTGTTTTCAACTAGGGTGAGTGGATAGATTTCATATCCCCATAGGGCTCTCGAAAATTCCTATCACCGCGTAAAGCTGTGCAATTATTTTTCCACGGCTCGATATTTTCAATTTAATCAATTTTCATCCGTTCACCGACTGACACGTGCACCCACTCTGCGACACTTTTTGTCGCGGTGAGCATGTCGGTTGGCTGAACTCGAAGAACGAGGCCAAGCAGATGCGCTCACCAAAATATTAAGGTATGCCAATTGGGGATGACAACGACGTAGATCCATGTGGACTACGTATCACTGTCGTGGTGTCAAGGAGTTGAGGCGCAACTTGGCGCCGTTATGTATACTTGTTTACTTATTTAATTTGGCTGAAGCGGAATCAATTATACTCTCTAAACATTTCAGCTTTCTTCCCGCATGGCCTTATCTTCAGGTTCTACTTTCAAAAGATCAAGCTCTCCAATAATACATGGACCCGTGAAACGTCACAAATATGAGCGCGATAATTCAGAGGGGGGTGTGCCCTACGCTCATCCCCTCCCACTCACAGCGACCTACGGAGTGGAGGCAATAAAATATGCTCCAGGCACTAGAGTTTCCGCTTTCAGTCATAAAGACTTTGAAACAATGATCCGCGAAAGGGAGCATCTCCTCTTCACCCAAGGCCGAAGGGTCGTTGGCTTGCCGCTCGTTCTGTGAGTTTACACTGATTATACTACGCGTCGGAGCGCTGACCTTGGGTTCGTACGAAAGGGACGACGGAATCGTGATACATTGGTATATATTCTTCAGACACAATTAACTACCGAGTTGACAGAGCTGATAGGGTCTTGGACCCTCGTATCGAGGTTAGCCATGAAGCGGGACCGAGTCTAAGTTCGGAGCTGTCTACTTCTCAACCATTACCCGATGGACTCTTGCCTCAATTGCAAACTTCAGCATCTGGACCTGTCGACGCGGTGCGGCGTGATACGGATCCGAGGTAGGATGCACTTGCACAACTCGATGGATTCCATGATGACTTACATATAATAGCCATACCGCAGAATCTCCCGAGATCGAAATCATCTCCTGCAAACTTGCTGGAGGCAATGAGGTGGCAAAAAACGAGCACCCGGAGGAAAGTTCACGTGAACTTCACACTCGAAGCTCATCGAGGTCAAGAGCGGTTTCTTCGCGCCGAGACCAAGCAATGGCCGAATTGTGCGGGGATTTGTGGTGTAATATGCGAAGCTCTTCCGTGGCTCCTAGCTCTGATGATGACAGATTCGATGAGCCTGCGGACGTCGGCAAGGTTGCAGGGGCCTCGTCGTCGAGAACTGAAGTCAGAACCCCTTTTACGCGAACAGTCGGTGTATTGCGAGGACAGAGGTCCACCATTCAACGAAGTACTGCAGCTGTATCATCCCAACCTGGTAAACGAAATAATAATAATCACACTTCTGACATTACGACATCGATGGAGGACAGACATGGAAGCACTGTTTCACTGCGATCGCGACGATCGCAACGGGCGAGTTCACTGTCGTCGGAATCAAGTGCAGATCAGGAAGTCGTTAGACTGCCGGCGCTTAAACGAGTGCCGCTGCCGAAGACTCCGTATGGGCGCTCTAGGAGGTTGTTGATTCCGGCTTCTGACAACCTACCATTGGTTGCGATAAGCATGCGGGCAGACGCCCAGTTCATCAATCGTCAGGATCAGTGAGTTCCGATGTCGTCACCACCCATTCACATCTTCACTTCGACTATCAGATTCCGTCTCACTCTGAACTCTCTACCTAACCCGGGAGTTCAACAACATGTGGAAGATGCGTGTGTCGTAGGTGATATTGTCGTTCTTGGCTTCAATAGCGGGCCAAGTCAGGTTACATTTCTACCTGTTACAGTGCGTGTGTTGCATTTACGTGTTACGAGACATTCATATTTCGTTAGACGGAAGCTCCCCGAAGAATTGATTCGAAAGCTTTGCCGCATGTCAGCCCTCCTCGGATGTCAAAATCTTCCGGGGAGGGTGTAAGGTGCCTCGCCGCAATGAATGCGACAGCTGGTTCCGTTGAATTTTTTACAGGTGGCCATGACCGACGAATTTTCAAGTGGAGCGCCGATGTGCAATCTCTAGAAGAGCCGACTGTCACCAAGATTGGTGCATTTCTAGATTCTGGCGTCTCTGCGATGGCTTATCGCCACGACGACAACTCCCTCGTGTCCTCTGATACGAAAAAACTATATGTTACGGACCTTACCCGATCCCACACGCCTAGCCCAGCCCAGTTCTCCAACTATGTCAACCAGATACATGTTCACCCCCAAATACCACACTTGACGCTGCTGGAGGTGAGATGCTCCCTTAATTTGTAGAATTGGACTTTGATAGGCTTTGCAGGTCCGACATCTCGATCATCAGATGGTGATGTTCGACCGCAGGATGGGTGGCTTCGACAAAGCTCCATGTTGCACATTTGGATATCGCAATACTAACGCAAAATTTGAGCAATCATACACGAAAGGCGGCATCCACCATACCTTTTTTGCGCGTGGTCATCACGACGGCACTGTTGTCCTTTGGGACTTCCGTAATGTCAAGGTACACTCATTTTGTTATCGAATGGCAATTTTTTCTTACTCCGACATACAAAGAACATTGTGACGAAGAGACAAAGCCAACTTACTCAGTCGGTGGTGCATACAGTGGTTGCAGATTCCCGCGTTGTCACTTTTGGTGGCGATGCGGTGACATTTTTAAATGACTTCTTGCGTAGTTAACCACTGTCGCTCCGTCCTCTTCGTCACCCTGAGGCGCAATCATATTGATACCTTACAGAAATCAACCTGGCAAACTACGCATGTTTATTCCATTACCAATGTTTTTGCCAACCGTATACAGTACAGATCTTGAATCTGCGAATAGGACGGAGGTGATCAACGCTTCGCATGTGATAAACCTCGAGAAACGATAGGTCAAATGGAACAAACCTAACTCGAAATGTAATAACGGAAGGATCTGGTGCATACGATCGTTTGGCGCTAACTTCTGACACGCCACCACCGTCAGAGCAAAGAGACGGGAAGGTAGCCGTGCTCAGCCCACCTCGCCAATGGTCCATCCGTGCGTGAATTTGCGCATGCGTTTACCTTCTGACCCATAACATATATGGGGTTAGTGATGCATCGTTTCCACTTGATCCGAGCGATAATGACTGTACTCGCTTACTGAAGGAGTATGAAGAGGATGATGCCAGATATCGAACCAGCGGAGACCGCATGTGGACAACCGATGATCCAGCAGTATATTGCAAGCTCTTTCGGCACAAAAAAGCATTGATCGGCTCGAGAATGAGGGAGCCTGGTATAGAAGAATTAAGTCATTAAAGAACGTTGACCTCACCATTGCCTGCCGCAAGGAGGCTGTAACGGCAGGTTGAGAGTAGATTCATTTGCCGAGGGTTGATGTGAGTATTCCAACATTAGATGTTGTACGTCTCCAAAATGGTGGTAGATTGCCCCCTTGGTAAGGTATTAATCTTAGATGCACTGGAAGTTGGCAGGTCCTCCTAGGTCAGAAGACATGTAGTACGTCGTAAGAAGGACACTGCATCTAAAATCATCAGATATTCTTTGAGCTTCCAGAAGACCTAGGGTCATGGGGATCCATGAGTAGATTACCGAATGACCGTGCGTCGACTTGTGGGTTTAGAAAACGATGACCACACCTCGCAGTCGCTGTAGATAACGCGTGACAACGTGCAGTTGTAATTGCGACTGTTTGGCTCAACCAAATTCGGACAATATCCAATTCTTCTCTCCTTCCAACGCGTCAATGTCCAAGGCTCTGAAAGCGAAAGATCAACTGGTGGCAAGTACTTCTCTGCAACGTTTTTCGCTTGAGTAATAAAACTATTCTAGCGCATTCTGATTCCTGCGGGCAAGGCTGCACCTACACCACCCGTCGGTCCAGCGCTTGGTGCGCGTGGCGTAAAATCTATGGATTTCTGCAAGGAGTTCAATGCGCGAACTGCCCATATTGAACCTGGGGTCCCAACTCCTACTTTAATCACCGTCGAGCCTGACCGTACTTTCTCGTTTATCACCAAAACACCACCAACGACCTACCTCTTGAAAAAAACTGCGGGGATAGAAAAGGGAACAGGTCGACCTGGCCATGAAGTCACCGGAACAATTAGTCTCAAACACGTGTATGAAGTCGCAAAAATTAAAGCCAAGGATGCGCACCTCAAGCACTTGAAGCTCGAGTCGATCGCAAGTACTGTTGTTGGCACAGCGAAAAGTTTGGGTTTACAGGTTGTGCCGTGACCTCCTGTCACAGATATTCGCAGAAAAGGTACGCAAATGGTGTTGCATTATTCTCCCGATGGGCTTACGATCGAGATTCGACTCGTGCGTGCCGCACCTTATCAATCTGAATCAAGACATGCGATCTCTCATCGAGAACTGAGAACACGGGGTCGCCACCGCATCCCCAGTCGATATATGTATGATAGGCCATGATCGGACGCACTCCAAAGTCAAAGAACTAGATGCACACTAATCTACATCGTGTAATGAAGAGATGGAAAGGGAAGCGCCTGATGCAACGAGGAGGAACTTGAGTAAGGTTGAGTTCATTCACCTTAAATTACGCTTCTCTCTCTTCATTTGAACAAGGACTCTCCGGTCTTCGTAAACCGAGGTTGTCTTCTAGCGAGCGCTCCCTTAACTCCAGGCCAGGTTGCCTAATTCAGAATTCATGAAACTTTATTTTTGAACTTCCTCCACCCCCTTCATCCTCAAGCATAGGCGGTATTTTTGTCGCAGCGTTTAGCAGAGGTCATGGGCTTATCACTAGTACCTTTGTCCTGCTTATGGGATTTCCCGCCATGCTGTTGACACGCCTCGGTCAGGTTTAACCGCATCTATCCCGCATTCATAGAACACGTTCTCAGGTCTAGTTCTACCGCCAATGTCATGTATCTGACCTGCCATTTGGAGAGGCTTCCTTACCGCATGTAAGCTGGTGAAGATCTCCTCGTCCTCTTATTTCTCTCTTTGATTAGTGCGTTTTATGAGTATTCTCGGCGACCTTCTCATGCCAGACTGTTTGCTGATCCCTCGGTAACTCAGTGTATAAACGAACATTGTGCTCTTGTGAGATAGAAGGTCGTATGTGTCATGCCGAATGACCTCGACGCCAATCTACTTGTCCCAGAGGAATCAGCGCTTGTGTGTTGAACGCGTGTTCCTCGATCATGTCGGCCTCGACCTGAGTTGCTGCATCGGACCATTGCTCCACAGACAAGTCTCCAGACCACATAACGACACCACGCTTCCTCGTCTACACGTTTGTTGTGTCCTCATCTTTATCTGTCACAAGTCCACGTTGTCAATGAATATTCGCGATCAGGTGAAAAACAAGAGGGGTATGCGGATGTTATCAAACTATTCCACAATATAAAAAGACAAGGTTTTCATCGTCGGACTCCCCACAAAAACCAATACCCACTCCCGCAAACTTCGACAGCGCTCTTCCTTTCTTTAAGCTATGGCAGCACCATCAAACGAAGTACTTTCGTGGACCAGTCAGGATCCGCGAGAGAGCCAACTCTTTAACGCCTGGGGTGTTGTCTATCGTTTTGCGGTATGCAGCTCCGCAACATTTATAGGCCAAATTGGACCCTGATCGACATCCCTAGACTGTAGTGGCCCCTAGTGGGCAGAGTACTACTACCCTCTGGCGAGCGGTACGGGCTAACAAGGAAGACCGCGTCGCAAAATTGGAATGGGCATCGAATGGTGGCCTCGGTCGTGCAGTGATCGGTAAGGTACAGTAAAACTCGTGGCGTCCTTGGATCCCATTGTTCTGACCGCGTTCCTCAGAATACAGTACCGATGGCCGACTTGGTTCGCCCGGATCCACGCTTCCCGGTCAGTTACATCAAATGGTTTGATTGCGATATCGCTTACACTGTCCATAGGGCGCACGCATATTCAACGCACCCGATGGTCTAACATACCGCTGGCGGCAAACCCCCGGTTCTGCTGATGTCGTAGTGAGTACTTACATCTTGTCCTCCGGAAGCAAACTTAAAGCTGACTATTACTTCCGCAGCTGGAAGATTCCGCTGGAAATATCGTTGCAGTCTTCCGCCCCACACGACCAACACGGTATCAAATTGGGGATGTCTATGGTGAACTCCACTTTCTGCGAAACGCTGGGGCAGCTACCATCGTGAGTACTTGTTACCCCACTCGCTACGCGAAGAGTCAATTTTATTTTCCCCGATTCCAGATGCATCCCCCAATCATGGACACGGTCACGGTGACTGCCATGCTATACCGATTTTGTCAGGCATTTGGTCTTTGATGTCATTTTTAACGCATGTTAGCAATCTTATTCACACTGTAAATTGGCCCATATTCCCTTTGTACGTATCATTGTTGAACTCTTCCATACATGTAATGCTATACATTTCATACGAGAGAAAATTTCCTTCCGAACGAGCCGGGGGTGCAGCATCAACAGCGACATTGACATCTTCCGATGATCGATAACACGCGTTTCCGGCACTCACGTGTGAGTGCACGATGCAAGTATACCTCATTGTGCTACCAATCGCCCACAATCATTGCGCTAAGCCGCCATAATCAGACCGTCATTTGATTTCATACGATCTGAGTCTAAATGACGCTGTATCGTATGATTCGTATTATCTACAATTTCCCCTTTGCCAAGGACGCTTCTTCTGATGTAACGGCGTCGACAATCTCATCTATTGTACGTACAACCCATTCGGTGCCTTCATCGCTTGATAGATACTTGTCTTCGTCATTCAAGTTCTCCTCGTTGCGAGCCTTAAGAAGACCGAAAACGTGGCTGATTAGCTGAGGTCCGACTCTGCCCTCGGCTCGGAGAGTAGCAATGCCGACCACCGATCCAAGAGCGCGGGTGAGGTTTCCTTGCTCCAAGTCCCCTCGTGGCAAGGGAGACAGGACCGTACCGTATGCCTGAATGATAAACTCTGTAAAAGTGGATCAGGCTCGTATGTGTAGTATGTGCAGAAACATAAAACTCGAGGGCGCCATTACACCGGGATTGATAAGACCATGGGGTAATGGGAATAAAGAACGTACTGATGAAATCAGGATGAAGGTCCCCCAATTTATTATACAGCTTCACCGCATGAGGCTGGTAAATCGAATTCCACAGTGTTTGACCCCGTGCGACAGTCGCCTCGATGGTCTGCGGAGTTGCTTCCCTGAAGAAAATTTGCAGAAAAAAAAAGATATGAGGCTGGACACTGCCTCGTGTTCGGACACCACATACCTGATAGAGTTTTTCCGTAACGCGGCGAAGACGTCTTCTTCGAGTGCGTCCTTTAGCCCCGTCAAGGAGAGAATCGTCTGAGATTACGTTAAGTCACCTGACCTCGGCGGCGCAGGTATCCGAGGCCATCAAGCTTCTGAACTTCATATAAGTGCACTCACTCGAGGTACACCAACGAAGATGACGCTCTTTAGTGCGGCTTCCCGCATGAGGGCAGCCTTGTACACGACCTCCGTAAGGCTCTTTCGCGATTCGAGCGAGTTTGGATCACTCCTGGTAACGAACCGATACAAGTGGCCAACAGAAGACGGTCTGTTAGTGGTAAGGAGTGTGCATGTCTGTTATCTCCGCTTGAATGGGGCTAGAAGAGCAATTTCGCAAGAGGCATACGTACCGAGAGGACGAGCCATCCGTTTTCAGCGTTTCGTTGTTTCGCCTCGTTCAGGGTACGGTTGAACACGTTATGAAGTTTTCCAAGAGAGGGGCTTGGCCAAGCTTCCGGGTTACGGAGAGTCAAAAGATGCTTAACTGCAGGCGGTAAATGTTTGACCATGTCTCTTCTGGGATCTCATTGCTCGGGCAATACAAGGACTATATACGCGAGGTCGGACTTGCAAGTCCGACCTGCTGATCCTTTTACGGCACGCCGTATACGAGCAGCTTCGTCATGGCAAACAGCGGTCGACCGTTTTTAAAACTCCGCTTCCCCGACCGTTTCTCCATAATAGGAAAATTCGGTCACTTGTATTACCAAAGAAAGAAGGTGGCTCCGAGAAGTTGACCCCTGGGAAAGTTTTACCGACCCTTATACGGGATCCCGTCGTTGAAAACACGTGTGTCACTCACTCATGAGAGTGAAACTAAAATTGATCGCTATTTCCTTTCACAGAACATTCTCCCCCGGACTTCAAGAATAAAGTCTGCATTGTTCAACAAAAGCACAACTTTTCTAGTCGACCAAGCGACATGAGAAACCAGTACACTACGTGACCAGATATAAAGGGTAACAGTGAGATAAATGATAAGTGAATCCAATCCAACAGTGGCATGGTATCAATATGATGAAGCCGATAGGGCCACAAAGCCTGAATCCCGCGGGCTATGTATAATTCATGACCAGAACTAAAATTCCTTAGCCAAAGTAGTCGTAAGCAAGAGAAGTGGGCGTGTCATCGCTGGAGAGGAGAGAGTTGGCGGTGTTGACTCCTTGAAGGTCGCTCATAACACCTGGCGTGAGAAATCAGCAAATGTGGCACGTAAATGAATATCGGTCGTACCGAAGGGGAAGGCAACTTCGAACCACGAAGTGCTGTCGACAAAGTTAGCGACAGTGCTAGCAAAAGCATACACTTCATCCTGGCTGGCCTGTGCACCGCCACTGAAACTCTTCAGGGACATGTTAACTAACGAGACTGGATCTAGTTGGGAACTATTTACCTGATCAGCAAACTCGGTAACCCAGATGGGCAAGTTGTACGTGGTGTGCAGCTGGGTGGCATAGCTGATGAAATCTTGAGCATTAGTCCCGTAGAAGTGGAAGGCGATAGCATCAACCTAATCACACAAAAAAAATCAGGAAACGGATAAAAATATGACGAATTTAGACAAACGTGGCAACCAGAGCAGGCTTGGAAGAAGCTAGCCATCCAGTCAAGACCAGCCTGATCATTGGTGCAAGCAGGGGAGACGAGGTAGTAACCCGAGTTTTGCAACGGATTGATATATTGCTGCCAGAGCGCAGCACCATCCGCGGGGCTCATATTGGACTGACTGGGTTCGTTGGGCCTGAAAATCACAACTGTCAAAATCAGTGTCAAAAATAGACCTATGAGACACACTCGTTCATGCCAAGGACATATTTGGCGTAACCGGGGACAACCAAGCTTTGAAAGTCGGAAATCTGATCGTAACCCCACAGCATGGGAATCCCTTCGAGGCCATAGAGGTCAGTGGGCAAGTAAGGGCTCCAAGTGTAGAGGCTATTTTGTGATTAGAGAAAATGACCAAAGGATATTTAAAAGTACGTACAAGCCAACATTGGGACGGGCGGCGAAAGTGGATAGGTAGCTGGCATCACCGTTAGCCCAGCCCAAACCCCACTTCTTACCACCTGAAGTGGTCGTGGAAGTAGTGGGAGTGGGAGTGGAGGCAGGAGTGGAGGCGGGAGTAGGAGTGGGAGTAGGGGTAGGAGTTGGAGTGACGTAGGTAGAACCCGTGCTCGAGGGTGCAGGCGTGTAAGCACTGACTGAATATGACGAAGACCAAGACGAAGCGGGAGCGCTGTCACCACTACTTGACGCAGGGGCAGTTGTTGGCTTAGGCTTGCATTGACCAGAAGCAGAGCCTGCAGTGTCACGCTTCCTCTTTGCTGCTGCTACGGCTTCGTGATCACGAGCGTAACGAGCGACATGGGAACGATCTGTAGTCAAGGCATTGGCAGACGTAGGACCAGACACGAGTGCAAGAAGAACGACTGAAGTTAGGGCAAGGAGATTGAATAATTTGAGAGCGGCCATTTTTTTTCTGGTTGCTGTCTGAGGTGGCAGACTGAGGGAATCGTCTTTAAGACGGATAGTTTATATATAACAGTACGGTCACGGAAATTGAGAGAGTGTGGTCTTAAATGAGTGAGGCTGAGCCGTAAGCTCGACGTTGAATGAATGAACAAGAGAAGGCAAGGAACGGAAAAGACCACACATTTTATCGATTGAATTATGTAAGCAATCGCACGGCAAACATCCAATTGCCATGACATTCATTAACTATTGTGATCACCGTCGTAGTGATGCGGATACGAGTAGCTCGTCGTATTGGACGATGAGGTCGATCATAGGAAGATTAGAAAACAAGATCGTAAATACGCAAAGCACTAGTAGCATATATTATGTAAAATCTTGGTCCGAATAGTACCTCAAGGCTAAAACATGAGGCAGTTAGCGTCATAAATCATATTGAACGTGTTTGTAATGATTTAAAAAGGGCAGCGTCTAAAATCGCTCAAACGGTTTCTTTTTCTTCAACTGTCAACTTTTGAAACCGGTTCATCACATAGTTCATCACTGCGTTCATCCTTCATCCCAATCGTCTAATCCCTCAAAAATGTCCGACGCCCAAGCCGCCCAGGTTACAGAGAATGGCGTGCCTCCGGCTGCGCAAGAGTATGTCACCGAAGAAGCTCCCCCATTCAAAGTATCTATATCCTTTTTTTATCTCTTCTTCAAAAATCCTCACTTTCCTATAATAACTTAGGTCTTCGCTGGCAATCTTGCGTACTCTACCACGGATGAAGGGCTCAAGACTTTCTTTGCCCCCGTACAGAGCGACATGTAGGTTTTGACACAGCTTTTAGTTCCCAATATCTAACTTCTCTTCGCTTTACAGTATCACTGCTCAGGTCATCCTGCGAGGTCCCAGATCCGCAGGTTATGGCTTTGTCGCAATGTCCAGCGCAGAGGCCGCTCAAAGAGCCGTTGACTTCCTCAATCTGAAGGAGCTCGACGGCCGCAAGGTCATCGTCGAGATTGCCAAGCCAGCCGATCAAAAGGACAAAGAAAAGAAGGAAAAAAGGGCCAAGAGGAGACCCAACAGGCGCGGTGCCAAGGCCGTTCCTGGTGAAGTCACCGATGCTGAGGCAAATGGCGAAGTCAAGGCGGAGGATGCCGCTCCCCCCACTGCTGCTTCGGGCACTGACGAGGCAGCTAAGCCCAAAAGAAAAAAGAAAAAGAGCAACGTATGTAATTTACACGCGATGATTCGTCAAAATTCATTTCGCTTGCAGCGCAAGTCCCGCCGTGGCGCTACTCCTCCGGAATACGAAATTGTACACGAGGAGGCTGGCTACGAGGACCCTGCCGCAGAGGGTGCCCCTGACGCTGCCACGCCTCCCCCCAGGAAGCCTCGCGTTAGGACTCGGAGGCCCAGGGCTTATCGCCCATCCCGCGCTGCCGGTGAAGATCCCATTGGCGAGCCTTCCAAGACCACCCTGTTTGTCGCCAACCTTGGCTTCAGCGTAGACGACGATGCCCTCTCCACGCTCTTTACCGAAGCTGGTATCAATGTCGTTTCCGCCCGCGTCGTTCGTCGCCGGTGGGGAACGCCCAGGAGGAGTAAAGGTTACGGCTTTGTCGATGTTGGCACCGAGGAGGAACAGGCGAAGGCGATCGAGGCTGTCCAAGGCAAGGAAGTTGGCGGCCGTCCTATCGCTGTCAAGATTGCTGTCAACTCTGCCCGTCAAGAACCAGCAGAGGAAGCTGAGTACACCGCCTGATCGCACCATACACATACATGACTCTGGTCCCATATCCCGTTGACTTTACCTTAACTTAACGCATGTTCAATTTCCGGTGCAAGTTCATCCTCACTTAGTGTTGTTCATCTCGCTCGCGCTATGGTTTTTCGCGTATGTTTACTAGTCGAGTCGTGCTTTCATTCTGGTGGTTTGGTGTCCTTCTTTCATCGGACTTTGTAGACTCGCTAGCAGCTGCAGTCAATTTTTGCGATGTCTACTAAGCCTACGATTTTTTTTACATGGCTGTGGTCATTGAATGATCCCCATATGCTCAAAATAAACGTGTGTGCGTAAGTGATTGTGGCATGTTTGTCAACGGCCAAGTTCACCCTAATTTATGAAGTCGATCCATGGCCGACGAGGATGATTACCTCTCGGACAAGTTTCTTGTCCAGGCTGCAGCCGAGCCTGTGCCGAAAACGTATGCTCAGAAACGCCGAGAGGCTTTGAAGCAGTCTCAAGTCAAGAATGAGCAGAACCGAATGAAGAGTCGGCGGCAGAGGGAGCAAGAGTCCAGGGAAGAGGGGCTGAGCAAGAGCCTGTTCGAGCGCGCACAGGAGGAAGAGATGGCCGCAGGTGGGAGCAAGGCACTGGGCATCATGATGAAAATGGGGTTCAAAGTCGGGCAATCATTGGGAAAGACCGAGGACAGCCCTCCAAAGAACACAGTTCCCTTACCTGGTCCTAGTCTGTCCGAGGACCAGTCTGAGCAAGGTACATCTAGGGCTCAGTCAGAATCTGCGGATCTTGGAGAGGATTTGAAAGGAAAACCTCGACACAAGGTTGAACCATTACCCCTCAATGAATGGCAAGGCATGTCCGCACCGAAAACCTGCATTTGGAAGGAAAATAACTGACTTGATAGCTTATCATTGCAGGGAAGAAAGGTATTGGTCTAGGGAAGCGTGCCCGCTCACCCAGTGCCGCAGATCGCCTCGCAAAGATGGCAAAGATGGCAGAAGCTGCCGGTCACGAAAGTTTCCGAGACCGCGCCCGCCGCGAATACGAAGAACGGCGAGCAGAAGGACGCCTTTCCCCTGCACGACAGACGTGCCTCACACTTGACGAGAAGGCAGGCATCACGGTGCGTTTTTATTTAGATATGTATGCGGGGATACTAGATTCACTGATCTGTGCGATAGTTCAACGTCCTCTGTTTGGATCCTAACGATCCCGAGTCTATCCCAGAGGGTCTTATGGACACGCTATCAACCCATACACTGCATATATCACCGTTACGCTCCGCCTCAGGGGACGCCTCCCATGCGACACGTCTACGCGCCCAAATGGCAGCTGATGCCCTGTTACCGGTTACTTCATTGGATGAAGATGAAGATGCCGACGACAGCAAAACACCCACAACAGTGGAACAATTCCCGCAAGAAGTCATCGAGGAAGCGATTTACTTTTTACGATTGGGCGTGAGTATAGTTTTCATAAAATCCTTATTCTTTAATGCGTACCCCTGACTCTAAATCTGATGCAGCCGCGGGACCGCTTAAAGCTCCTTCTCGATTATCTGCGGGAGAAATACTCATACTGTTTTTGGTGCGGGACGCAGTATGAGGATGCTATTGATTTGGAACAGAATTGCCCTGGACTTGAAGAAGATGATCACGACTAGATGTCTACTGTAGGGAAGATTGTTCCCTTCGTATCGTACAACGTCAATCATATGATTGATCTAAACCTACGAAGATCAATGTGTAGTACAATTGTGAGTGCGAAAATTTCACAAGCAAAGAGCGAGGTTATGACAAGTATGAGAAGGAAACGAGGGAAGTGAGACGAAATGCAAAGGAGAGATATGTATGCGTGTATAAGAGAGAGAATTAAAAGGTCCATAAGTCCTTCCTTGGGATACACGGCAACTACATCGTGAACAAGCTGTAACATCATCAGGCCGCGGAATAGAAGTGGAAATGAAGTCCGTTGTTTGGTTCAAACAGAAACTAGCGAGGGACTGGGGGAATGGTGGGCAATGACATCGGCATCAACGATGGTGGAGTGATAATTTCGGGTCTCTCGACGTACTCCCGTTGAGCGAAAGTAAGGACGACAGGCGAGTTTTGCGGTGTCTTGCGGCGAACATATGAGGAAATTGGGGTGATGGATGGTCTTTCTCTGTTGGATAAATGAAGCGGTGCAGGACGTCGTGTGTGCCGAGGAGATGGAGGATTTGGTGATGAAGACTATGCTTTCTGGTAAGGAAAAAGTGGGTTGAGAAGAAGAAGTCGATGCTCTTACCCTACTAGAATCTTCTTGGTCACTCTGACTGGGTGTCAACGACACAGCACTGCTTTGTCTGGCAGTAGACTTGGTGACAATGAGACAACGGACAGATCGGTGAAGCAAAGCAACGCACACTAGCTGAAATATACGGCGAATATCTTACTGCTCTGACTCGACGTGAACGCCTATCCAAGTCAATGTCACGGGCACAACGGATGGGGCTCCAACCATCAGAACTGCCCAATGAAGAGCAGGAAGAACATGAAGAAGAACGATCTCGAGTCTTGATTATACTTGGGGTTTCTGGCTCAGCATCATCTATGCCTAGAGAAGCCATGAGTTGAATGAAAGAAGGGAGAGCGGTCATAAGACGATCTCAGACGTGGTACTATGCAATGTCGGGAGAACTGTCTTCGATGGGCGATATAAGTAAGATGAGCATGGTTATAAGGATGTTTTGACCCCATGGATACCGCCCACGGTTGTCAGGAAGGACGGTCGCCACCTACGAAACTCTGGAGTTCCACTTGTGACTTTATTTTCTTGAAGGTTTGCACTATCAATAGGGTTCCAGCCCCGTCGGCAAGGTGATTGAGTTTTAATAATTCTAGACACACTGCTTTAATCATAGCATACATTATACTAGACGAATTTTCATTGTTCTTTTTAACAAGAACTTGTTCACAAGCTTTGAACAATTCTTAATAGGCCGAGCAGTGCACAAGTATAACAATTACCAGGCTGCGCGGAACTTCGAACCAACTTAATTACAGGGTGACAGTCTCCACGCTGCAACCAACTGTTTCCATCAGTCATGCACATGGTCAACCAAACCTGAAAAACTTCAAACTAGATTCTCTTTATCGCATTCGCAACCGTCGGCGAACGCCATGATCAATCGCCGAGTAACTGCGCGCTCGTAACGTGACTCACGTGTGTAATGATCACATCACGCGATAGTCACGCGTTTCCGCTACCAAGCTTTTTTCGTTCTCGTCCGTCATGAACCAGCCAGGACAACAAACTACGAATGCTGGAGGTGGTGGTAGCTTCATACCTCCACCGCGGCAGGATATGGAATATATTTGCGCAGGTACTCATCATGACTGCCTGCAAGCATAACTTTACAAACAATCTAATCAAAAGCTTGAAAAAGATTGTGGCGCCAAAAATGAAATAAAGTCTAGGGAACCCATACGTTGTCGCGAGTGTGGTCACCGTATCATGTACAAGAAACGAACAAAGCGGAGTGCGTGTCTGTTGCTCTTGAAACAAGAAACCAAGCAACTGTTGACCTTTTCGTCCAATAGTGGTTCAGTTTGAAGCCCGGTGACATTCAGGTTTCCCGGTTGCAAAACGATTATCAGAGGTGAGTAGCGATGGAGCTATTTCAGTGTACTAGAACAGTAAACACAGATTACAGACGTTACGATTAAGTTTGATTACTATACAGTATAAGGATAGACACCTGACGTTTGACGACCTCGTTACCACCGCCCAAGTCGCTTGAACCACACATTCAGGAAACAAGTTACCACCAGCCGATCTAACATCGCGCTGGCGCGTGGGGTCACCCTTAGTATCCTCTCGTGGTTTGACCACGATGCAATGTATTTGTCTTGTGAATCGATACACTGTTTTGGTAGGGGAGCGTTAGGAGACGCATGTTCCAACCTCGGTGATACGTACATATAAGTCAGTCCTGTTTTCTGATATCTTCCACTTATATGCGGCACCGACACCGGATTTAAATCTGCGTGAACTAAGTTCCATGAAATGAATCAGTAATGGGGATATGAACTCGGGCAAAATACTCCACTGGCTGGTCGCATTTTTGACCTTGCGGAGATCTTTGACAGAAACCTGGTAACCAAATCAGACTGGCGTCGGGGTCATCAGCATCACAAATCTCACCTCCTCTAAACCAAAATACACGGCGGAGGCAATAATGTTTGAACTCCAACTGATCTGTCCAACGGTCTCAAAGATCAAACTGTTCATATTTTTCCGCTGATAAGCTGTGGTTCCACCAGAAGAACCAGTCATTGAATGTGAGAACTGCAAGGGCAGTCAAACTCGTGAATCTTGGTAGAGGAATGAGTTGGGCGTACCTTGTATAGTTCCAATTCCTCGTGTGCTGCTGTTCCTATCACTTGATACACTCGAAACGTCCGCATATCGCCGTTGGTGTCGGTAGAATTAACAAAACGGAAGACCATGTCGGTTTCGACAGCCATACTAGCTGTGGATATTTTGCAGGGCACTTTGAAAGAAAGAAATGCTAATCCAAGTCGCGAGAGCGGTTTACATGATGATAAGTTTTGAAGGCCAAGAAGGGATTAAATGACTGCAGTAATGAATCTCGCTTTGCGTTTGCGCGGAGAAACTGTTGATCCGACCGAATACACGGTTGGGAGCTGAGGTCACTGATCTATTATCAGTACTATGTCGCATCCCAAATAAGAGCAAGCCATCGACTACGCGTAGGCGAGCGACAATGAGCCATGGAGACGATAAGCGATTGCTAAACGTGAGGTAATGTTCCTGAAGGCGTGTAATGTAAGTACATATTAATACGCCAACTGCAATTTTTTGCTCAACCTCGACACTCGCGGTGGCAGCCAAGTGGCAGCTCAAAACATTTTTCAATTTCAGGTGCCTATCGACATTACTCAGGATTCAACATTTACTCAATACGCGATATCGAGCACCACGACGAGCGGCAGGGTCATGCATTATCACATCACCGACGCTCCACCCCGAGGAGACTCCCTCAGCTAGTTGGAGCCAGATTTTTGACGTGTGGCGCGCGGACGCGAATAAAAGAGTCGCCGAGTTGGTCGAACCAAGAGAAATGCCACGTACCAAGTGAGAACGAATCTGAAGGATGATCACCGAGATCGACACCCTGCAAAACACGTGTCACGTCAATTCGAATTTCATAGATACAAGCAGGACCAGCAGCCGAAGGGATTTCGTACACCCTGCGACGAACAATCGCATCAGTCAGGGTAAACAGGCAGATGGTGGGTTTGTACTCACATTAATCTGAACTTGACCAAGTACATTTAGCTGTTAGTATAGGGACGGTCCTGTGTGTTTTGGCTCTGAAGGCCAAACGGCCCGAGAGGCGATAAGACATGATACAGGAGGCTCGGATGTTTTCTTGCGGATGAAATATGGCGACGCTATGATGTCAACGTTAAGGGTCATCATGAGAACATGGCGATTCAGTGAGCAACACCCTGTATGATGACGATAAGAGAAGAACGTTACAGGCCAGCAAATGCGGAACTTGCTGAAATTAAACCCCCATTTCGTCGGAGCTGTGTAAATGTTAGCCAATTGTTATGTCAATGCATAAGGTTCTGATGCCGACTAGGTGGGAATAGCGTGTTTTAAGGGGGGAAGAGCTTGCACCTGAGCCAAATAAGAGCTCGAGTCCGCGACAGATGCTGCTCGATTTGAAGGACATATTCGAAATACATTCCTAGATGTCCCCGTATATGTATCGCATCTGTCCATAGAACGTTTCTGAACGGGTGTTGGTGGGGACTGCCTCAGGGCCCATTACAAGGCTGAGAAAACTGGGAACTATCAGTTTTATCAATAACGGGAGATTTTCGCCGAGCCGACGACTCAGTTGGATGCATTTCAAGTTGTCATAGAACCACTCACATGTTTCACACCTGGCGTTGCTCGACACAAAACGCAGCAAGGAGACCATAGTGCATACTAGTATGAGAGCCAAAGGCAGAAAGAGCGGATGACAGAATGCTAAGTATGCTGATGTTCGAGAACGAGAGAGATCAAGCGCACAAGATATGCGGCTCCGAATGGAGGTTGTTGGCGCCTCGGAACGCCTGAAGTCATACTTTTAAACCAGCCTGAGCGTGATCCATGATTCACATGCAGTGGCGGCCGGGCGCCGGACAAAGACTGACACGGATGATTTGTCAACCGGCTCGGCTATTTAAACTAACCGGTCGTCGGAGTCGGCATCGCACTCAGTCACTAGGTGCCGACGCTGACTAGTGCTGACTACGCGGGCATTGCAAATATCATTGTACCCGTCAAACAATTAGTACTCACTTTTGACCAACTATCTATCATTTCCACAAAATGACTGATGCGCCCCGTAGTGTATCTGGAGAACTTGATCCAGTATGCTTCTTTTTGACTCACTGTCTCTTGATCTCACCGAAATAATCAATTTACAGGACTCTGATAATGAATCCCATCTCGATCATGGTGATGAACTCGGGGCAGGGGAGCCGAATAAACCAGGCAGGAAAAAAAATCCAAAGTTTGTCAACTTCAGACTGGTTTTGTTAAGTATGATTGACCACCGAGAAGCTCACAGGCAGCGCGTCGGGACCAGAATCGTATAGCTCAGCGCGAGTTTCGCCTGAGGAAGCAGCAAAGGGTGCGCCGGTCCGTAATCATTTCCGGCATCATCGTACTAAGTTCCCACTTTCCAACAATCAGATTCGTGACCTCGAAGCACGTGTAGAATTGCTTTCTGCGTCCCAGGATGAAGCTCTGACTGACTGCAGAGCAATTCTCAGGGGTATGTAATTATATTCGTTTGCATCGGTGTTGCTTGTCGTAGTCTATATTTTACAGATCTTATGACCGAAAATCAGGTCCTTCGCGGCCTCCTAAAGAGCGTGTCCGGGTTTATCGGCGATGGTGCCGGTGGTTTGCTGGTGAAGCTTGGTTGGGATGCGGCAGACTTCGACAGCTTCATCAACAAGGCAGAAACGGATACTGCATGGGAGAGTTTCCAAGCTCGCAAACATTCTCAAAAGACTTCGCAAACATCAAATGCCATGAGTTCAATGCTTGGCCCGTCGAATAACACAGGAAAGCGTCCATCAGACGACGATAGTGGGCCTGGGCCGGCGAAGAAGGCAAGAGGTATGAGTAACTCAGAGCAAAACAGTGACCGTCGGGACTCTTACCCGCTCATGCTACCTGTGAGCTCTGCAGTGCCTTCTGCTAGCTCCTTATATCCCCCACCACCCCCGCAAGGACGCTCTCCTCAGGACAATATGTTTTCGGATCTTATGCAGTCAGCGAATTCGCCTGTCTTCATGCCCTCCACAACGTCTAGTACACCGAGTCATTATACTGCTTCGGCTGATTTTCAACCTTATGTGCCCCAAATGTCCATGAACGTCGAGCAACGCTTAGGGGCAATGTCCTACCCCACGAACAAAACAAATGCGGCTGTCTCTCAGCAGCGGGTTCCTCAAAACTCTTCCATTGAAGAGCCTGATGATCAAGATATGGCAGAACTTCGAGATCCCAAGAAGATTGAGGCCATGAAATTAATCAAGTCAGTTTTTTGTTCATTCCTGTTGTGTCTCATATCTGAGTGTCCCTTTAGATATCACCTCGACAATTTCATGAGAAATAGTGCTTATTGTCTTCCGGCTTCATTACGGCCAACTCTGGTGCAGAGGTGAGCAAGAGTCTCCCAAATCTGATGGGCACATGCTCACTACACATGCTCAAGAACGATTAATCATGGTATACTGCTTTCGCTTTCTATTTAACATGTACTGATTCCTTTGCAGAAAGTGTCATCGACCGTATCATATATCCTGAGCTCCGAGACCGTATCATCCTTCTTCGAGGTAGTCACATAACAATTTTCAAGCGGTGACATTCTGATATTTTCCAGGGCAATTTTCATTAGCAGACTGTCTCTTTGACTACAAGAAGGCGGTCAAGCTTCATGGAGATGATGTTCTTGCCCAGCATAACTGGGAACTTGCTGAATGGTGGTTACGGAAATACAGGTGCCCCTTGCAAGTTGTGCAATGCCCATATTGTATGCTGATTCTTCTCTAGCTACCTTATCGATAAGGCAACCTTAAATGTCTGTAATCGCTGGAGACGCGAGCGCGGTGAACACGATTTGTTGTTATCTGATATCGGTGCTCAAGGGGATTCTCCTGCGTCCTAGGACTAATGTGGTTTCATGCTGGAACCTTGTAAACTTATTAGTGTACATAATTATACGTGCGCAGACTTCGTGCGGTAATATATTTATACTGCGAGCTACGTCTAGACAAAAGGATGTGTGCAAAAGAAGTCACGCAGGAGCGACTGCTTCCCTTCATCTACAATGGTCTGGTTAGGGGAGACTAAGTATACACTGCATCGAACACTATGAGCACTCCACTCCATATCTTGCTGATCAAACACGCGTAAACTCACCAGACCACAAAATCTTACGCACGCGTAACCCCCATCTACCAAGAAGCTTTGCGCACGCCGGGGAGTTCCAGCTTGAGCGCCTTCAGTCGGAACTGGTACTGTCAAAGTCACAATATGAGGACGCGTTCAAGGAAATCCAAGCAGGTCACATACTCGACAAAGTGCAAACTCGCTGATAATCCCCCGACCACGTCCAGATTCTGTGCAACGGTTCTTCACCGTCGTCGGATGTGTGTACTTCCCGAATGTGTTCAGCTGCAGCTGAGCTTGGTGTCGCACTTGCGGGGACAAGGTCTCATTCCGCGCGACATACAGGTAGGCCCTGCGGAGGATTTCATTAGCCTTTACGATGTTACGGGCCTTGATATCTCGGAGTACGCGAGCGTTGGGCATGATGACCAGTACAGTTTTCACCGAAAGGTGGTTAAAGGCGTATAGAAAACAAGTGCAAACATCACGTCTTTAGCATGGTCGGCGACATCCGGCACGACCTCAAAAGTTAGCGTCGAACAACCTTGAACGCAAACACATCTTGCTCGAGAGGATGGGCAAAGTGTCGGTGCGTAAATTATCCATCCGCTTTCAAATCTTGTCCACTGACAATAGATTGCACTAAAAGTTATAGAATGCCCATTTCCAAAAGTTTTCGTCTAACATACCAACAACGCCGCACATTAGTTTCAACTCTGTTCGGCCTAACATTTTTTGCGTCTGTATTGACGGTTTCTGCGTCCAACGTGCTGCCATGTCCCGTTCGACCTGACCGGAGCCGATACGGAGATACAGAGGGGAAAGCAGAGGGAAAGAGGCCTGCACCGGTGGTGGAGAAGATGCCAAGAAGGTGGATACAGGAGAGGCCCTCTTCAGAGGATACACCAGCTTAAGCCATTGCTGACGAGGAGGCCCGACGTGAAGATTCAGGCAGTTTCTCTACATTACCCAGTACAGTATACAGCGTACACCACTACCGTCTACTACTACTATTACACATCCCAGAATGATGAGGTATATGAAAGCTGCGCGGGGTACATGGCTTGGGGTCGTCTAATGGGTACATAGTGTGGTACCAACATGCTTGGGTGTCGCTGGAGTTATTGAGGGATAATTACACCCGACACAAACGGTCAGTCAGTCAAATGAATGTCTAAGGTGAGTCCACTGCTGAAGCAGTGTCATTTTGCGCAAGTTGTTGGCTCCTATAATGTTCTTCTTGCTCCTGAAGTGTTCCTCTGGAAATGTCGACACAGGTTAGCATCGGCAGGGCATGATCGGACGTGACAATCACGTACGGTAGGGGGTGCTCCTCAATGGGTATGCATGCAATGAAAACGAGAATATTGATCGCAATGTGACAGATGAAAACAACATGGAGTGCATCGGCGTACGACTCAACTGCAGCCTTTCTGTGTGCAGGCGTGAGTTCAGGGATCGAGCTTATGGAATGTCTGAACACAGCATCTGTAAGTGTATGCACTGCATTGATTGTCTTTGACATCATACCGTATCTCCTCGATGATCTGGGCAAAGGGGATTCATATGAAATGCGGACGGTATAGGTGCACACCAATGCCGCTTACCTCTAATGAACCAGGCCCAGTAATCCGCTGGCGCAATTTTCTGAGCAGAACGCTCTGGAGCACAGCCCCTGATAAACTAACACCAAGAACTTGGCCAGTTGTTCGGAAAAGATATGTGACTGTAATTTACACATCTTGAGTTCAGAGGTCCTCTCACGGCAGTCAAGCGGCACTTACTACCGGTTGCAACCGCCATATCCTCCTTGTAAACGCTCGCGATCATCGCCTGCAAATTCAGAAGCGGGTCAGTTTATGAATTAGGGGGAAAGAAAAACACTCACAATTAGCGTAGTAGTAATTAAACTGGCCATTCCAAAACCCTGTGGGAGAACGTCTAACCATAGATGGTACTGCGATGTGTTATCATCCCACAGGGCGAGGCAAATACTGGCAATGACGGTCAAACCAACAGAGGCCAACGTTAAGTGATACAGTTTGCCTGTTCGCCGCATCATCCTGTATTCGCGACGGTAAGTTAGTCAGAATGATGGATGGTCACAAGAACCTCACCAGCCTGCAATCATACTTCCCATGGATAGAGCAACCTGTAAGAAGGTAAGTATTTCCTGTCACAAAACACAGGGAGACCCGCACAGAATGGGGAAGCAAATGTAAACCTAAAGGGCATGTATTACTTAATGAGTGCAAACGGAGATACTCCCAAGCATACCGGCATTCGTGGACGAGTTGAGCCTGACGGCTGAGAAATACAAAGGGACATTGTATATCTGGACAATATGCCGCTTTAATTCAGTGGCAACGTGTAAAGATTTTAGCCCTCACCGTCGAAAAGGCAGTCATAGAAGCTAAAAAGTTGGCCAGAGATATCGCCAATGGGGTGCGTTGCGTAATTAAGCGCAGGGGCATCACAGGGTACGGCGCCCAATAAGCCTCCACTAATATGAAAGCCACCCAGAAAACCGCGCTAGTACAAAAAACCCCCCATATTAGGGGGTGCGACCACGGAAGCTCCTCAGTAGTCTTAAGACTGAAACCGAGCAATAATCCGGCGACCGCACCAACTAACGTGAATGATCCCATGAAATCAATGCGTTGTAATTTGGAATATGTGCTTTGGGTCTCAATCTCATTGGGCAACTTTATGTTGACCTTGAGTGCGACCAAAGTAAAAGATATGAGCAATAGCGGCGCCTAAGTTCGAATGAGGCCAGGATGAGATAGAAAGATACCAGGCTACCGACCTGCAATAGAAATGCTGCCCGCCTGTTAAAATCATTTAGTAGGCGGTGTGTATATATTCTAATTGGCTACTAACCAACCCAGGGTATCATTCACCCATCCTCCAAATGGACCACCAAGGCCAGCGCCCAGACCAAACAAACTGATCGAGCGTATTCGTTCAAATCCAGTGAGCAAACCCGTAGCCACTTACATATTGGTCATTCCTTGGTATAGGCCACGCTGTTTCCTAATAGTAATGATAATGATCTGTATCATTACTCCATGAAACCCGGACTTACAAGGGCACTAGATCGCTGATGGCAATACTGCTGACTGTAACAAGGTAAATTTCCTTGGTGATTGATAATACAGCGCCCAACATACCTGTCATTACTCTGAAACAAATGTCAGCACAGTGAGCGCTGCAAAAATCATTCCGTTGCACGCACCCTCCACCGCCCATTCCTGCAACCGCGCGCGCAACAATCAACGCCTCCATAGTGGGAGCGAATGCGCATGCGATAGTACCCGATCCTAGATTTCATATTAAAGGGATGAAATGGCTATCAAAATTGCTGTCCGCACCAAACAAAGTCAGTCCAAGGAGCATTGCTCCCTTGCGACCTAATATGTCTGATAGTCTACCTGATAAGCGTTAAAACGAACATGCATTATAGTACGATGATTTGGTTGCCCTTACCATATAGAGGGGTAAAACAGCATACTGAGAGCAAGTATGATGTCCCCAGATACGAAGACTGTTCAGATTTATTGAAGTAGCTTCCTATTGGTGAGAGAAGCGTTGCCACAATTGTGCCTATTGACAGAAGTTTGGGGTTTGTTATATTCTTCGTTCACTGCCAGCAAGCTAGAGCGCACCATCCAAAGATCCGAGAAACACCGCACTCCAAAGACCTGAAAGGATCCAAAAAAGTTCAACGCGAGAGACTTGATTTAGCGGCGGCGGGTCAATCGGTAAGCTCGACTCTAAGGCCTGCACAGAGTTATAAGAAGACTCCTGATCATGGTCACGGAGCAACGGCCTGGATTCTTTAGACGATGACCTCGATGACATACGTGGGGTCGTGCGATCGTTTGCGGGGGTATCCAAGTAAGTATGAGACTTGTTGGGGGGCGACAGGGCGGGGAGAAGTGTCTCAGCCGTGGTGATTTTAAGGCAGGGAAATTAGAATTTCTGGATATGATTGACGCGCAGGAACATGCTTAAGTGTCTTCCAAAGAAATATATGACTGCCGCTGATGCTCAAGCGACGTGTCTTCAAAGTAGTACACTCCCGTGTCATTCTCCGCTCACATCGGTCCCGGGCCGGCCGAACGTGAACAAATCACTTGAACAACTCCTCCTTCAACTCCAACACATTCAAGCTAATCATACAATATCAAACCAAATTTTTCCGCATAGCAAGCAATCAAGACTGACGTTGTGCACCAGGCTCCAAGATTCGTTGCCGCTGTTTGTTGTCAGCATTCAATCCGTACTCTCCGGACGCTAGGCCCTCCTCAGCTTCGGATCTGAATAATTGACACATCTGTCACGCTGTCTTTTTTGTCTACCCACCATCCTTACAGTCCGGAATTGCTTAAGCTGCCTTTAGGTGCTTCTGGCCATCTTCAGGGCTGATAGCGGGGCCGACTACCCTCCAGCTGATATGAGTGCCTATTCCTCATTGCTCAAATCCACGTACTAGGGATGAAGTATGTATAACAATCTCCGTGAGATGCGGCCGACATACTACGGCATCTACTACTAACTTTGAAATTGCCTCTGAACCCATGACCATGTGTTCACCGCCAAGTGTGTGGGATCATGCAGCTGAGATATGATGGATATTGCCAGAATGTTCGACCCTCTTCGAACCAACCCGGTGAGTTGTTGTCACCCTCTTCACGTATTGCTTTTCACACGATCTTACACGCTGCTGGGATGTTTCCCTTCTCTTTCGCAGGCTCGTAGCCCCTTGTGAGCCAGATAGGCTCTCTGCTTCGACATGAAGTCATACCAGCTACAATCTGAGACACACGAGGCACTGATATATCTAGATAGGTGATGCAGCAGTCCGCTCATGTATAGGTTCCCGTGACATAGTTCTGTTTTTAGGACCGGAAAATTCCATCCTTACTTCATGCTTCCTGAATTTCACTTAAAAGCTGGTGGGGTCATCTTATATCCCCGAAGTACGTTTCCTTTGCCTTCATCTTGCATTGCTATTAAAGGATCGCACCGCTTGCTCTCTTGTCCTCGAGGATTGATGATTTGACCGTTTTAGGTGTCTCGACGTTACGGAACGTTTATAAAGACCTGTGTTCTGTTTTTGCAAGTGAAACGCGTTCATTAATCGCAGGATATGCATGGAAGGTCATACGTACTAGACGGGTCATGTGGGTTCAGATATGAAGCAATTTCCCTAGTATTCACATCCTGTTTTCTAGATCACACGAGACGATACTGATGCGGTCTCATCATGATCCTCGACCCCAGTTTTGGGCAGTTATCACAACTTTTTGTGTCACAAATCAACCACAGATGGGGCTCAGCCACCGCATTATCATATCATTGATTATCTGCCACCGGTAAATGTTGCTGTGTTAGGGTTCAGTGCATGATGTCGTATGGAAACCCAGATTTGGCCTAGTGATGGTGATGTTGTCAAAGACAGCAATGATGCACCAGGTTGGCATTCCACCCAATTTCTATGTTAAGCCGGCCCGTAGGAATGAGCGCTAGGACTCATCCTCTCTGGGGCTTTATGTGATGCTACAGGAGTCCCTGCATCGGCGACTTTTGGCAACTGCTGTACATGTTGTGGTTCATGAAGAAAGATATCCCCGTACAGCCTCTTGATGATATCATCCTATCAGCTCGCGTGCAGCTTTATGATACAGCAACCTCCTCCTGGTAGTGGTGAACGTTTATGCAATAAGTTATTCACTATCTTGACAGGATGCATGGAGCCGGTCGGTCCACAGAGAAGTTCTCGTGAGAGTCCATGGTGCACGGCAAGCACGATCATCGCTTGCAAAATGTACGCCATTTACAAGGCGAGTTTGCTTTTCGGATCATTAGTATCTCTGCCTCGTGCCCACAGAATCGAACTCATCGGACACGCTTATGTGGCTTATTGCTGTGTATGGAATTGAAACTGATAATTGCACGAAAGCACCGAGGCAGCCGCAAATGCTACGTGCTGTGCCCTCACTGGGAGCTGCACGCGGAACTGGCGCGGACTCCGCTTCGACAAAGATCGAACTGCAAATCCAACTCTACCCGCGGTACCTTTGCCAAGGTTGCCTTCGTGGCAGTATTACAAATTGATAAATGACAGGAAATTTTTGCTAGAGTTTACGTTCGCGTTATTACACCCATATGTGCAACGCGTTACGCTCGAGTAGCAGCACTTTCATTTCCGCGAAGATCTGCTTTCTCGACTATACTTTAGCACCAGTTCATCGTACTAATGATATGGTCAAGCCGAGGGTACTAGTGTTGGATGATCGGGTGGGAGAATGGCAGTACAACGGACGGTGACCATGACACGGATCTACGACTTTATGGCATCGTGACGAACACGTTGATTGCGTGACTAGTTCGATCAAGCGCTCTAACTTGTTGAATCCGAATGCGAGAAGGGTGTCCGGTGGGGAATTACGCCAACTATCATTTTTATTACTCGGGCGACGTTCGCTTGCTGTCGACCCTACTGTCTCGACGATGGCTGATGTTAACCATTATAATTAAAGCGAATAAAAGATTCTCTTATGTATAATGTAGGGAAGCTTAAATTAAGTGGAAGATGCCGTCTTACTAAGCTTCGCCATTTTCTGCTACCGTTATGTTGAGGGGACAACAATTTGAGAGTTTATACCTCCCCCGATACCAAAGCAATTTTCTTTCTTCAGTATCTTGGTAGTCCGTGTCTGCTATTGCTGACTCGAAGCCTGAACTTGTTGCATAAGTTTAACAGCTATTGTGCAATCCGATCGAGTGCTCGGGATCGACCGCGAATCAACAATCTCCATCATGCACGCACCCTCTCCACCGTCTACTCCGTTACACTCTTCATGGAAATCTGTCTTTCGTCTACCAAACTCTTCAAAGAAGCATCGTGCTAATGGCAATGGTTCAATACTAGCTGTTGACTGCTCGCCTCGTGCAGTTTCATCTCCTCTTCAGACAGTCAAACATATGCCCGTAACATCCAGTCCTTCACTGGCTCCTGGCTCATTCCTCCCTATCGACGAGCGTTCCTCCTACAACTCTTCGAATACCCGATCTAGCGACTCGAACGTGGGAGCTGTACCGAACTCACCGTACCTTGTGCCTGATTCCCGACTCTTCCCTTGCCAGTACCAGCCGCATCTGCAGCAGTCGTCTGTTTCGAATGTCGAAGCGAATGGAATGGTTACCCCACAACAGCCTCAAAGTCGCGTACGGACAAAGTCGGAGAAACAGCGTATGATGCAGGGTCGCCCTCCGCAGACACCAACAAAGCCTCAGACTGCCACGGGCTCCCAGCAGTCATTCGCACTCCCACAAAGTCACGCTGCGTCTTCAAGTCGCTCGGGGCCCTTGTCTCCTCGGGCCATGGGCGCGTCTGCCACGCGCTTCATTCGTCGCGTAGCATCCGCACCAAATGCGAAGCATCTCTTTTCTTCCGGTAGTCGGTCATCAGCACCTACGAAGAATGGTCTATTAGCACCTGCAGATATGGTTCCACCAGTACCTGGTGCACCCTCTACGTCATCTGACCACGGTGATGACTCATTGGAGACTCTGTCGTCTGGTTCTTCAAGAGGGAGATCTAATCGGAACGAACGGTATCCTGGTAACTCACACCTGTCCAAGACTAGAATTGTGAATGGAGCGCATGATAGTCCAGGGAAAATGGCTTTCAGACGGACATATTCCAGTAATTCAATCAAAGTTCGACAGGTACGTTATAAAGCTTCTCTGCAAGTACAGTTTTCTTTAACAAAGGGGTCAATACAGGTCGAGGTCGGCCCATCAAGCTTCTTGAAAATTAAAATGCTTGGAAAGGGCGACGTCGGACGTGTGTACCTTGTGCGAGAAAAGAAGACTGACAAGCTTTTTGCTATGAAAGGTGGGTTCGTGATTTGACTAGACTTCAAACTGGCTTCAATTATGATTTCTCAGTCCTATCCAAAAAGGAGATGATTGAACGAAAAAAGATCAAACGTGCTTTGACCGAGCAAGAAATTCTAGCTACTTCAAATCACCCGTTCATCGTCACACTTTATCACTCCTTCCAGTCGGAAGAGTACCTCTACTTCTGCATGGAGTACTGCATGGGTGGCGAGTTTTTTCGCGCGTTACAGACTCGTCCGGGCAAATGCCTCCCGGAAGATGGCTCACGATTTTATGCGGCGGAGGTTGTGGCGGCCTTGGAGTATCTTCACTTAAATGGCTTCATATACCGCGATCTCAAGCCAGAAAGTAGGTTACTTCTCCTCTTGATCGCCAACGTGTACTAAACGCTTAACTTTATTGCCACATCTTGCTGTAATTGTCGCCTTTCATTTACCGCGTCTTCCGTACTTGGTGGAACTTCGTCCAGATATTCTCCTCCATCACTCCGGCCACATCATGCTGTCTGATTTCGATCTCGCTAAACAATCTGGACATCCTGGGGGCCGTCCTGCGACGATTCACCAGCTAGGACCAAACGGGGTAAGCCGTTTCCTTGTCGTCCATCCGATGGCAATTCACACATTCTACCTATGTTATAGATACCTATGATTGATACGATGTCATGCACAGCAGATTTTCGGACGAACTCGTTTGTCGGTACCGAGGGTAAGGCTCGTTTAATTATCAACAATCAAGGACTTGACCGTATGCGGCTTTGTTGTTCAGAATACATCGCGCCAGAAGTAATAGCTGCACAGGGTCACACCGCTGCGGTGGATTGGTGGACGCTTGGTATCTTGATATACGAAATGATTGTGAGTTGACATCGATCATCATCGGCGGAGTTTGGATCGGATTTTGCTATGGGAAAATCATTGACGGTCTTGTGTAGTTCGCCACCACGCCCTTCAAGGGAAAAGAGAGGAACGATACTTTTTCCAACATCCGGTCTTTGCCAGTTCATTTCCGGGACGCTCCTAAAATTACGAGGTGGGCTGGAGTTGGACATTGAGTCACGAGTAAACTTTAACGAAAGTCTCTGCCGTACAGCGCTTGCAAGGATATTGTCATTCGGTTGCTTGACAAAGATGAACGAACTAGGTTTGGTAGCAGGAGTGGAGCCAGTGAAGTTAAGCAGCATAAATGGTTTGCCAAAATGAACTGGGGTTTGTTGCGTCACCAGCGACCACCGGTGAGTCTGACTTGCTCTTATATATCTCTGTCGGAAAGTGTGTTGGGCGCTTAAGGCGTGTGTTCACCCTTGTGTGAGACAAGTCATATGTTTGATCTGATACGGCTTGAGAGATATCTTGGACTAACGCGTCCCTTATCTATCCCTGTGTAGATCATTCCGTCGTCCTCGAACGGTCTTGATGCGGTGAACTTTCGGCACCTAAAGGAGTCACGTTCGCTTCACCTAGAGGAGCAAATGCGGGGCGTAGCAGGAACAAGCGTACCGGCGGGCCCTGGGACACCCGGATACGATGACGGTATGGATGCTCCAGCAGATGGAGATCTGTTTGGCGCGTTCAACAGCGTCACGCTACACTATGATGGGGAAAGCTGATTCCGCCATATTCCCGTCTATACCCCTATATCGTGGTGGCTACGAAACATCGGATGCGATCGCCGGTCGGTGTGATACTTTATTTTTTCATCGTATGATACCATCCAGTGCTTCATTTCATTGATGCTTTGCTTGCATAGTTCTTGGATTTTTTTGTTTCTAGGGAAAAATAGGTTCACATGTATTATTTCACTGCACATCATGCACATCTATCACTCGCTTTTAGTGTTACTATGTCCGACACTTTACGATCTTTTTCTAATCAGTTTGATCATGACGCAGTAGAGCCGCATGAGATAAGTGCTGGAGGACTCGGGGATCAGCCGATCTTGTAGTCCCATGGACGTTGGTAAACATGTGCGTTTGTCGATGATCCGATTGAGACCGCTGTTTGAAATTGTGTAAACCCAATGATGAGATCAGTACCCCCGGACTACTATGAATTAGTATAGGATTTTGTCTAGTCAAATGCGGGTGAAAGAGCGCTAACCAATGATAGTGAGCATTGGGGTATGTAAGCAGGGACAGGAGATAGAGGGCGCGGGGAGTGGTTCTTTCAAAGTCGGGCGCACTGCGTGTTGTCAAAAATTTCCGACGGTAGATACCTGGCTGGAATGTGACCCCAGGGTCAAGTTTTAGCCGTTTCTGGACCTATGGTATGAACCGGCTTCCAGACGGTTGATTTTCCGGATTTCAATCACCTCGAAGACATCGTTTGGCCATCAAGTTCGAGCCGGCTGCTACTATGGGTCCAAAACGACACCATACGTATATATATAATAAACCACATGCATATGATGTACACTTTATTTGATAATGATTTTAAATATTATGAATATGCATTAATATTCCATTTAAATTGCGAATACATGGTAGCTATAGGAAATACAATGCCGATGCCACCCGCTCGCTACACCTCTGGTAGCCTGACTATATGCGACATAGTTGTATGCACGCACACACTGGCGAGGGAGAGGCTACACGAGGTATTCATTGGGGGTCAAGATAAAAATCAACGGAAGCCAGACTTACAGAGAAATGATAGACGTTGTTGGCTTTTGTCAAGGTTGTTTTCTTGCTGTTCTGCATTATGGCTCGCGTTGGTGCTAGCAATTTCAGAGTAGATGAGAGTTGCTCACATTGATATTGATGGAGGTCGCAGCGCTGATGGCCTTCCCACTCTCGACCTGGGCTCTGAAGCAAGCAAGCGGCAAGCCTATACAATATATAAGCGACTTTCAAGACTATTGATCTTGTCATTACTTACTGGGCTGTGTGAGTTTCGGTAGCCCAGTATGGACCTGGAAAGAGGGCTCATATGTAAGTCGGCAACTTGGCAGCAAGAGAATAGGAACACCCACCCGACTTCCCGAATTTGCTGACCCTGAAACAATTGCAAGGTTTTAAATAATCCCTAACAGAAGTATACACACTTACCTCCAAACTATCAGAAAGAAGTGCTCATAGAGACTGTCCAGGTTGGGACTCTAGGCGAGCATGATCGTGACCTCCTTGCCGAGGTCGTTGCTGCGAAACGTTGGGTGAAATTCTTGTGCAAAGCAAGTTCACGGACACTCACAACTGGAAAGTCAAATTACTGACGAAGGGTCGGGGTGACAAGTAGTTGAGATTAAGTGTGGATTGAATAGCTCGAGTTCTGTAGTTAGAGTCTCAGCAAGCAGGCTTTTATATTCTCGAAGTGGGTAGGTCTTACTGCTAGTCTTCGTTGGAGAGCACCCTCGTCGGTGTAGTCGGGTACCCAGTCAGATACCACATCATTCTAACCATGATAAGTGAGAACAGGTGTGGACTTGAAATATGATATAGCAGTCATCCCCAACAGTTGTCGAGCGTCAAGAACAAGGTAAATTTAAACTCCGTGCACCTTGATCTGAACACTTACCGTGTGGCACAGCTTCATTCATAATTCGTATATATATGTTAGCTGCAGGTCATGTACAACTGAGTCCAGGTGGATGTAGCTGAAACGTAGATAGTACGCAGGTGAGAGTGGCTCTAAGTTCAAGCCATTGTTGACACCAGTGGTAATTTAAAGGGTCAAATTTCCGACATCGTAGAAGTTGACTGATATTTGATGGCTTCGACGTGGCTGAAACCTTAGGCACCCCCAGATTCTCAGCCATCTCTAAGCCGTCGGAATTTTTGGACAACACGCAGTGGCGGATCGCTGAGGAGGAGAAGCAAATTGAGAAGATTGGAGGTTTGGTTGCGGTAAGTCTAAATTGGGATAAGTTGAACCACGGCTTACCAAATTGAGTAATTGATTAGGACCCCAGCTAGCGCTAAAGTGAACCAATGATAAATTACAAGGGTGCGGGGCAAGCGAACAAGGTTGTATGGCGGCCGTGAAGGGGATCATTTAATAAAAAAATGAAAATGTAATTCATAGATTCATTACACGTGTAGCTATGAGTTTTTACAGGATGGAGTACTTGAGGCCTGAGGTGCCGCTGAAAAGCAAAAACTTTGGAAAAAGAGAGTAGATTCAGATCTCGCGGCAACTCGAAATTGTCACATGGAAATTTGGTACGAATACTTCCTTACGAGGGTAGCCTCGGCGCCGAGGTAGTGGAATGACAACCAAATTTAGTTGTTATAGTTGTTTTGTTTTGTTTATAATGTATTTACCGAAGGTGATTTCCGAACCCGGCCGCGGCACCCTTGATTACGTTTTATTTAAAAAGGAAAAAGCGGATACAAAAAATGGATATGGAATGTTGACGTAAATTTATTCGTAACCTAATTTCGGTGTTGACGATTTCGGTTGATGATTTATTCTCCACCGTTCATCTAGTTTTATACTTAGCTACCTTTATAAAATATCAAAAAGGTCTCGATCGACGACGAGACTACTTACTACTTTTCATTTTTGGTTCTTTTTAGACAACAGCTACATAGTTCGCACTTCTTTCAATTCCTCCTTTCCTTTCACTTTACGAACAACGACAATGCAGGACCTGTACACTTCTCAATACCCAACCCATCAACGAGCTCAACAATGGTCTCGTCCAACTGACTATCATCAGATTAATACTACGGGTCCTACTTACCCACAGCAGCCATCAGCTTCTCATTCTAGTTCAAGCAATGGCTCTCCGACAGAGGACAGTCCTCCTGCTTCTCTCAAAGTTCATGAGCAGCAGCAACCACCTCCTCCAAAGTCAGAGGCAAAGCCTCAGGCCACTTTCTTAACAAAACTTTACGCGTAAGTTCGCGTTTAACATCATCAGTCCTATTCATTAACGCGTTATATAGTCTTCTTGAACGTCCAGAAAATCATCACATGATCCGTTGGGATCCTGCAGGAGAACATATCATCGTAGAGAGACCAGAACAGTTGGCTCTCCATGTCCTCCCAAGCATTTACCGTCAATCGAGATTTGCAAGCTTCTCCCGGCAACTAAATGTATGTCTGATGTGCTTCCATCCTTCTCTGTCGACGCCAAAACCCACTTAATCCTTCACTGAAATGAATCTTTCACTGACCTCACTTCGTCCATTAGATCTATGGCTTCATGCGCAAAGTAAACCTCCGTAACGTCGACCCCGCTATTGATGATCCAGACGCAAGCACATGGTGTAAGTCCGCGCCAGTGCCACTTCAAACCCCTTCTCCTTTACTGACCATACGGTCCCGCAGCCCACCCCACCCTCAACCGCCACTCCCCCCCTGAGGTCGTGGCCAATTTCAAACGCCGCGTCCCCCCGCGTCTTCCAAAGCCAAGGAAGCGCGATACTCAGGAGCCCCCATCAATACCTCCTCCCCGTTCCGCTATCGGTATGGGTCCAGTCCCTCTCACCGTTCCTTCGTCTGTGGGTCCAAAAGGCACCTTGCCTAATGCTAGTGGCCGTGCTCGTGGCTTTTCTGCACCAGGTTCCTTCACTCCTTTGAATCAGAACAGTCCAGGTTGGAGTGCGACTTATCCTCACACTCGTAACCTGCCTCCCCTCACTGTCCCTTCGGAACCCACTCATCATAACTTGTATAATCAGTCTCACTTGCAACCCATCTCTCCTGCGGAGGAATCTCCCACTGCTCAGTTCAGCGCAATGGGTCCAGGAAGTGGTTATCATCACCCTCAGCATACTAGCAACAGGGACATGCTTGTCCCTCCCTCGCAGTATTCCTACCCTGATCAGAACTGGCAGTATTCTCCTAACAGCACGACTTCCAATCATTCGGGCAGTTTGTCTTCCTTGTTGAACCCACCGAGCAACAATGGTTATGGTCCTCGCCCAACGCCGACCATCAACACATCTTACTCATCCACCTATTCGGGTGTTTCGATGCAGAGTGACAATAGTCCGCCCTCGTTATCTCCGGATAGCCGCCCAACGACGGGATACTCCATTTCATCAGTGTCATCTTTGCCATATGAGGAATCACCATCACACCACACTTACCATCAGGCTGATTACTCGCGTCCCGGGTCGAGCCATCACCGCCCCATTTCGCCATCATTGTCACGCCCACCGTCGTCCTCGAAGCAATATGGACCGTCGTCCTTGAGCATCCGTCGTCCCCGTCGCCACAGTCAGGCTATGAGTCCATACCCGTCTCCGTATGGAGAACATCCTTCCAACGAGAGACCCTCGACGTCGCCTCATCCTGACGATGGAAATATGCCACGAGTGCGCAGCATGATCCAGTTGCCATCTGTGGACTCGTATGGTTTCCCTTCCGGGCAAACTGAGTTCGCATACTCTGCTGTTGGCGGTGCATCCATCGATTCGATGGATGGCCGGAGTGGTTGGGGTCACCATCAGGTTGGACCACGCCCCTCTACCAGCGCATCATCGATCAGTGCTGCTTCCCACACTTCGTCGTCTCAGGCGAACACGCCACCACTCGGGGACGGATACGGCGCAGGGGAAGCCGACATTAACCGCTGTGAGTCGCGCGACTACCCCTTGCGCCCTCCGATGTCTCACGGGCTGGCTTACTGACTGTCAGTCTCTTGAATGGGTGCAGTCTCGCCTGACTTTGGGTTTGTCGCTATGAACGAGCACCTTCCTCCGCAATATACCAAAATCGTGAGCGAGCTTTAGACGCAACGTTCCCGTGGAGAAGATAGACTTGTTGCTCGAATTGCCTTTTAATTCAACTTGTTGGTGTTTTTCATCTTTGACTTTTGGACTGCTCTGGCTGTTTTGTGTTTGTGTTTGACCTCACGATCCCACTTTCCTTTGTTCGCCTCACTTTACCCGCTTCTTCTTCTACGAAGCTATACGAAATTGGAAGATCTTTTTCATGAACGTTACAAAACGATTGGCTGCGTTTGCATGTGCTCTCTCATCTAGTTCCAGCGTGTATACTTTGCTCCTCATTTGTAGTACCACATCCCATCATCACTCCCACTTTGATACCTAGTCTTTGGCTCTCGTGTGCATACGGTTACCCCGTATACTGTTACCCTCGTTCATTGATATCCCGGCTGCGTCTTTTTTTTCGATAGTATCTGCAATACATTTTGCTTGTCCAAAAACGTGACTTTGATGGCGGCCTTAACCTAATTGCAAACGCAAAACTCCCTCTCCCCACTATCAAAACCCCAAAATGTAATTCCCACCTTCAATTTTCCACGAAATATTTCAACGATAACAGTAAACAAAACGGGGACCGGTACCAAATCGGGAAACGACTTGTTGATCTCGCGTGATCTGATCAGAGCGAATGCACAGAATTCTGATCGGCAATGCTAACGTAACCCGTCAACTTTCATCTACTTTTTCGGATGTTTGCGAGACAGGTGACTCCCAAAGCAGGACAAGTGGGACGAGGGGGCGCTAGACCACTGCCCGCAGTACTTGCTGCGGTCTCATTGACATTGCCTTTCTGTTCGTTCCAGATTTTCCGTGATTGTGGTGGTGGAGTCATTCATATACGATCGTACCAACAGGAAAGAGGGGCGACCCTGTGTACAAGGGCTGGAATCTGCACAGCTGTGGCAAGGATCAAGTGGCGTTTGCTGCAGGGTAGGCATCAGGTCAGGGGCAATGCTATGGCTATGAGACCCGTGTAGATCGACATTAGGCCTTCAGTCTGCGGTGTCACTCCAGATACCGCACGCGGTTTTCATTGGTGCTCACGCCTGAGATGCGAAATCGACATGTGCAGATAGTACATCAGTTCCAAAAAGAAATACATACAGAACATACAAGTTTGGGTTTTAATCAGCCTGATATGATATCCTTGGGTAATAATATACAAGTCTAGGCTCGAGAGAGTCCTTTTAAGAACAAAACGCAGCGACTAGGCTGCAGGAAGACCGGACACGACGCGATGTGGCGAAACGAGTTGTGCCTCGCTCATGTTGCTCTGCGACTGCAAAGTCAGCGGCAACCGTAGTGCTCGAGATCCGACATCGTCATCCTCTGCATCTAAGAATGCCACTCTTTCTTCAGATACACTTCCAGGAATCTCATCGTCTAGTTCATCGTCCACTGCTCGGCGTGCTACCAAACTGATGTAGATGAAAAGTGCAACGCACAAAAGGATTCCGCCAATAGTCCAGACTTTGCTCCAGGTATCATCCTCTTCCTCCTGAACGTCGGATTCTTTCTTGGCACTGAACGAGCGAATTCCTGCACCGATGCTGGTGTGAATGATGACTTTGAAAAGGGACAAAGCCGTGCAAATCACATAGGTCCGCATGGTGAGGGTCGGCGTGGCCGCAAGAAGTGCGTTGAGCACATTATATGGGTATGGTGCAAGTCTGACAAGGAATAATAGCTGGGGTTTGCGTTCGACAGCTCGGACTGCGCGGCATAGAGTGCGCGTCGAGGAAAGCCAACGACCAATTGGCTCGCGCAAGAACGTTCGTGATAGCCAGAACACAACGACAGCACCAGAAAGTGCAGCACAATATGAGATAACAGCACCAGTCCACGGCCCAAACGTGTATCCCGATAATGTGATCAGCGTGGAATACAGTGGGAGAGGGGCTATTAAAACGTGAGAAACATCGACGCACATGTGTGAGTTTTTGACCAATGATAAATCAAGAATAGAACGTACGAAACGTAGTGATAAAGATGAGACAGAAAAGCACTGCGTAGCCGAAGTGCTCATCGTTTCGCAACCAGCGTGACAGGTGCTCGAGACCTGTTGGAAATAAATATTGTGAGCAAAATAACAAGCGAGTTATGGCGCTGTCATAATCGTGCAAGCGAGGAATAGAGATAATTGCACCAGTCTGTAGCAACGGGCCACTAGGGCGTAGGGTCACGAAAGCAGAACAACAGGGACCGAAGACTTACCGTCGAAAACTTCAGTCTTCCAAAATGCGATAGCTAAGATAAAACCAAGGCTAGTTACACCGTACGCAAAGATAGGCAGCCATTGTTTGAAGAGATTCCATATCCGCAGCCCGCGCGGACGAACATATCGCTGCGATTGTGGGAGAGTTTGTGATGAGGAAACCGATGAAGAGGAAACAGACAAAGAAGTACGCATTGGAATGAGATGGTGGGATGGACGCGAGCTTCGATGCGGGGAAGAACGACAGTTGAGAGGTATTTCGTTTGAAAGTGGACCTGGGCATAATTTCTCGCTGAGTACCGGTGGATCAAGGTTTGGCTGTACGGCCATGGTAGCTTGGCAGAATTGAACAGGTTTAGATCACCAGCTTGGCGCTTATAGTTTCTAGTCGCAAGACGCCCGAGCGGCAATCGCGCTGCTCAGCGCACACAGTGAACAGTAGTCAGGATAGCTTGATAAAACGAGAGCGGAGAGAAGGAACGACGGGTTGCAAGGCGATGCAATATTTTTAAGTCTCCAGCAAGAGCATGCCAATATGGTTTTTCACGGTATTGCAGACCTTATCTCAGTAGAGTCTCACGCCACTATTATATAGGATCGTTACGACTGGCTCAGCGAGTCTGTAGCACATGCTACGTGGTGCTGCGGATCGTCGTCGAGGGAATAAGATAGGTCGACGAGACATTCATTCATAATTATAATGCTGAACAGATTTAACGGCCCATACGGATTAATGCGGGAGTAGCACACGAAGCTTTTTGAGCGCCTTGCCACGTTGCATACCGTGACACATGCATTGAATATGCTCCGAGTCAACTGACTGTTCTACAGTATGTAATTGGCAATCCATTTATTTGCAATCTTCTCAGACGAGTCGGCCAGCCTGGTCGGTGTCAGAGAAGTACCCTGATGAGTCGGGCGGAGATACGGAGGGGCAGAACATATGATGGAAGGCTTCGCCCCTATATGTGTTAATACATATCACCCAATGCGAATGTCAGTGTCGTTGAAAGAAGAGGACGTTACAAGTAACAGGCGCCAGTGAATGGAATGCGAACAGCAATGTCATTGAAAGTAAGAAGCAGGAATCACATTACAAGTAACAGGAGCCCGTATGCCGTCAAAAACGACGTGTCGAGTAAGCCAGACGGACAAACGACATGACGAGCAAAACTCAGAAAATTATGCTGAGCTGGTTTGGGGAGGGTGATATCCAAGACGCCTGCCAAGATAAATGTCATCCCCCCCTGGGCCTGTTGGACTTGGGGTGTGCATGGCGAACTAACATATTAACGTTTTGCCACTATAGCCAAGTAATTTTTAAGTAAAAGAATTCGAAGCAGTGGGGTCGGAGTGACGCACTCCTCATTCCTCGCCACATTATACTGCGACTTCTCTACGACACGACATTGTCGGCATGTGCGCACAGAAATTCTAGATGCGCACAGAAATTTCTAGATGCAAATGTCAATGGTGTAAACTGGTGGAGGCGAAAGAGTAACCTTACTTCAAGATGATGTATTAGCTTGGATATAGCGGAGATTGCAGTTTCACCATTAACGCCCAAGTCAAATTTCAAGTAAAAGAATTCGAAGCGGCCTAAGCGGGGCCGGGATGAGACACTCTCTTCATTCCTCTGACAAGGAAGTCCCGGTATGATGTGAGTTCTCTGCGACGCAAGATTTTCGGCATGCGCACATAAGTTTCTAGTCGCGAATGTTGATGGTGTAAACTGGTGGAGGCGAGAGTAATCTTACTTCCAGATGTTCTATCAGCTGGGATGTAGCGGAGATTGCAGATTAATTATTTTTTTCGTCTCGGTGCATCATGGAATGCCGAGTCGAGTCGAGTCGAGAGCGTAGTATTATGTCGGGTCCTGAACAGCGCTGAGCCTAACCTTCCCGAGGCAAGGTTTGAACCAAATAAAAGGATGGCCCAGTCTTCTTTGTACATAATGCGGGGGCTGGACCCAGCGACTGGAGCTTCAAGTGCGCTCGCGAGTTGTGCAAAGATATTCAAATATATACCACCTCACAGGTGTCTGAGGGCCATGGAAAGCTCTACAGCGTGGGACATGCAGCAGCTGCCGTAAGTTTATTTTGAGAGGGAGCTAGGGAAAATGATAGGTTGAAGTCAGCTAGGGAGTAGGAGAAGTAGGCATGCCTGTATTACAAGAGCACCATTAACCTTGTATCTGTGACGCGTATTAATGATGGGCACGAGGCAAACGCCACATCTTGAGACTGGTTGACCTCTTAGCGCTGTTGCTTATGCAATCGGACTCATCAAGACTTCGTCCATCTCACACGTCGACAAATTTACTAACAACCGGTACGCAGCTGAGATTGCAAATCTGAAGGCTTTCCACCGTTCCTTCTTGGCACTGGCAAAGTCCAAGCAAATCCTATCTCGTGCGCACATTTTATTCCTTCAAATCCCATGTTCTCTGAGTCATTCTGCATCATATCACACAGTCACTGGCAGTCCCACGTCCGTTTGAATATCGAACTTTGTTCATTTGAAAAAAAAACGCCGTTCGCCAGGATAGTGAACGACCGCTCCACACACAAACATATTTTTGCTTAGCACCCAAACACCGCGGGCAAGTAAACCTTCACGCATAGTTTTTGGGCTATTTCACGTCCATTCGAGTCAGTTGTCGGAAGGCCTTCCCGGTTTCTAGGAACATATGGCGCCCTTAATGCGCCTCGTTCGAACGCGATCTCTGCGCGTTCCTCAGCGGCGGACCCGTGGATACTCATCATCAACCACGGGACCCCGGTCCGCACATTCTCAATGGTATGCATCCATGATTCCGGGTATGGTTCCGGTGGCTCTTTTGGGTTCCGCTGTGTACTTGGTAAGTAGTATCGTCTTCGCATCGTGGCTCACTGGCGTTTTTCGCTGCTTTCCCTCGCGTCATGATCTGAAATCAACGTGTTGTTATCTTTGCTGATTTTGTGCTTTGATTTGATCAGGGGTTACAGCTATTACAGAGCCAGCTGGATCACGAGAAATTTCTAGATGAGGCACGAGACCAAGTACGTCAACTCGGAGAAGAGGTGGATAGGTTACAGGAGGAACGGGCCCTGCAACCGTCAGCAGTCTCATCATCACCCAACCCTGCCTCTAAGTGGTGGCCGTGGTGATTTCCATATATCAATACGTGTAATCATCGGTTGAAGTCAACATCTAGGATTCATAATGAAATTCGCCAGCCCAAAACCATAGTTTATCTACAATAAATAAATTCACGACCAAGGCGGAATCAAGCGTTATTATATCAGTAAAAAGGGTATTATAAAACAATCAAAAAATGTATGCGATGCGAGGTGATGGGTAGTAACAAAAAGATGCATGATAACATAGATGAAGCACACGAGGAACTGTCGAACGCTGGAAGCATGTCAACGCTTGCGTTTGCGTACGGAAAGAAGCGAAAATTAACATGCTTCAATCACCTCTTCTTCATTCAGATCACGAATAGCTAGGGCCATGATGTTCAACTAGTCAGGGCCTTGTTGACAAGCGCAGTTCTATACTTGTCGTGCAACTTTGCACAGCTACCAAATGCCAATTAGGAGTATGAACGGCAAATGATAATAGAATACATTACCTCAGGACCGCGGCTGCAAGGCCAGTGAAGGACTGGACAGTGTCTTTCCACCTTTTGATCCTACAGATATCCCACGCTGCAACACAGGGATGTCAGGTGGGAAATACCTGTGCAATCAAATTACTCACAGACGAAAATGAGATCCATGGCAAGCTTTGCCCTTGAGATCTGGAGCCAATAGTTCTGCTTCTCTAGGCGCGTTAGCTCACGTTCGTCAATTTTTGATGTTTTTGGTTGTGACTTTGAGGTAGCTCCCGAGAGCGACTCTTTGTATGCCCTTGATTGAACTGGAACAAATGAGCGACCGGATTTGAAGCGGTAAAAAAAATCAATCGTTTCACCTTCTCGTCGAAGGCCCTCAATAACGCCCAATTCGACACCATTCTCTACCAGACCGACCAGTGTGGAAAAGAGCCAACACCAGTCAGCAAACCGGGCCGCGCGCTCTCCCAGCTTAGATCCTATTATGCCGAGCCGGGAAAGCGAGTGTATATCATCCGACAAACCATTTACAAGCTCTAGGAGAACAGGGGGCGGAGCCGACAGCAAAGCTCGGAGGACCGGGTGCGAAAGGAAGGGACCCCCCGATGATTGCAAAGATTTGGAGGATGGCGCGGAGGTATCTGTGAAGCTGTGAGGCACAAGGGAAGATCCGGAAGACGAGAAGGGCACGGATTGTTGCGCTAATATTTGACTCAGGGGGGCTAACCAGTTGAACATGATGAGCATTTTTCTGTGTGCCGTCAGTTGTCAATGACGACGTCAATGTCAAACGGTTACCGACCTCGTGAAAGAGAGCCCCCACTTTGCATCCCCAAGCCTTCGTGCAATTTCCCGCTGCCAAGCGGACTTCCTGTTACGAAATAATATCTTGCTGTGGAAGAGCAGATATACACGTATCGAGTATTGCATTAATTTCTGCCTCAAAGATGACTTCTGTCACTTCTTCAGCAAGTGTGTCATGGTCACTCACAAATGCTTTGTCTCGTCCGTTACTTGTAACAAACATATCTCGCCACACCTCGTGAGCCCCAACTAACTTTTCAGCCTCTTTAACATGTACATCTTCCTCGTCTAGCTCCACGATCTCGTCTTCATCTACCTCCGCCTTGTCTGCTTTAACCGTCTCTCTGTCCTGTTCTTCCTCCGCCTTTTCGTCGTACACGCTAATACTCATGCTCATATTCCTAAAGTGCGACTGCGTAGTACTCGGGCGCGGCGTACGAGGCGGGTGCGCAGAAAGAGGATTCATTTGAAAGGAAGAAGATGACATGTCGAACGGAGTGGGGGTGTAGAATGGCGCCTGCATCGAGTCGTGCAGTGAGCTGGAAGATGAGCCCATTTCGTCGCCTGAGTGCGGGAACGATATTGAAGACATTTGTGGGGTTCGGAAAGCTCAAATTCGATCAACGGGATGAGACTACGGGTGGCTAAGACAAAGGTGAGGATACTGGACAGCGCACAGGAAACTTGTAAGTGTAAACCTCGTATTCTCACGGAAGCGGACCGGGCAATCGACATATCCATAAGACCAAACAAATGTAAACGCCTTCACTAGAGCCATGCGGCTTGGACGATTGGAGTCTGACTTCAGCTTAACTGCGTTCAAAATTGTCTCTCATTTCCCTCTTGTTGGAGGAAGGATGACAACAAACCTAGGGCTTCGTTCTCCTATTTCGCGATCTGGTGCGGTATCTCCTCAAGCACCTAGACCCGCATTCGATACGGAGGTACTGCGAGCATACGTGAAAAAACTATTGCCAGCAACGCTTTCGCATGCTGTTTGGCCACATATTGAGCGTGACCAAGTAAAAGCTTGGATGAAGGAGATAGGAGAACGCGTCAAGGAGCGGATGGTGGAGATTCAGCCACATGGATTGTACGTGTGATGACTGACCGCTTACATTGAACTCATCTCGTGACCCTGTGTTATATACTCGACACAGTAAGTATATGGTGTTGGTCCAGATCACGGAGAATCTGGGGCAAGGTGGCCGGTAGGAATTATCGCGATCTATAAATCGATCATTGATCATCGTTGATCATTGCTTGTAGGTCCCATTTGGTGTCTCACTGGGAAGATGGGGATGTCTGCTTGAACGAACTCTTTTTCAATGTGGGCATATTTTTGATATACGTACTGATCCGCTAACACATGGCTGGTAGGATTCGTTATTCTGTACATGTACTGCCATTGCCGTGCGAGCTTCGTGAGATGGACTGCCGTGACCTCGCTCTTGATTCTGGGGTTTAATTCTCGCGCATTCGATACCCGTAATCACCTTCACTAAAAGCACGATACTATGTCACGAGATTGTATAATTACTAGACTTTATTCGACAACTACGCAATCGTGTTTGCTTCAGATTTGCCAAAACCTGAGCCTCTGCGCCATAAATCCGTATGGATGTTCGTGCCGTCAGATGTACTATCCATTGGAAAAATTCTGATTGATGCTGAGAAAGAAGCTCAAGATTATCATCAGTGGCTTCATACATATATTGAAGATAAGTTCGTCATGATTGCCCTCTTACTTGAAGGTCATTCTTCGGCGGTTTTTGAGGTTCACGTTAATGATGCTACAGCTTGATCTGGTCAAGGTGAATGTTACGTTGACGACTTGAACCATTTGTGACGATTGAAGTGCCTTGGGATTGGTGGAAATGGACTACAAACGGGATGTTCCTTGGACTAGTCCGAATTTGCAGGTCGTAACATTCAATCTTGAGATCGATGAACTTGAGGGATGCCGGCTGTTCCCGCCCATATCTTATCTCACAAGGGACGGAGCAGTTCGGTGTACCAGCGTGTTTTACCAGCTGTTCTGTTAGTATCCGAAGAACGGACCGTCATAGACACGCCTTTTGATAGGATCATCATGGGGCACGTTGCGAGGCCGTACACTTCCTACGTTGGTACACAATGGAGCGGGACCGGAGATCGCATTGAGCCATCGCCTCGTGTTTGACTTGAGCTACAGTCAGGTACAGCAGATACCGCGGAATCAAATGACGATGGGCCGGGAGACGTTTCTCGCACAAGGGATGCGGCTACCTGTGCGTTGTTTCGGTCAAGGTTGACTCGGATTGGCGAGTACGTACATGCGTGAGAGAACCCTTGTTTCTGACCGATGTACTCTCGGTGGGGTAGGTTCTAGAAGGTCATATTTCTCCAATAGACACAAGCGCTCCGAAAGTTATCCGTTCTAGTGTTTCATTTTAACTTCGGTCGTATTCATTGTAGTTGTAGACCACCCCTATATCATAGATCTCTCCCGGACCGTCGAGCTGAGTCTGCATCAACTAGTTACTCGTGCAACTCGTTCTCACATCCCTGATCGAGTGGGAATGTATCGATCTGCAGATTTGCTTATATCGTTATCATGTTGTGCGTAGCTCATTGTCGGTGTGGACATATCCATAATATCATTTTAATATTATTAATATTGATAACACACAATACCGGCTACGTTAAACCACATTTGAACTTGCCGACTACTACTAGACCAGTGACCTCCGGGCGCCAGGATAGGCTGCTGGTCTACACTCCCATGCTTCTTACCAAGTCCTATCGTGCGGCGATACATGGCCAAGATCGAACCACGGAGGATCTGAGCGATAGGCGTGCTAGTGGCGATGCGGCTTCCACTTTCTTGTTCGAGATCAAAATGGGCGCCTCCTTAAAAATCGAACCAGTTCAGTTGTAAACATACAGGTTTTCGGGGTCCCTTCAGTCTTACAAGCCGATGTCCTCTTCAGATATACCTAGCGATGCAGCACAGGCACTCCTGCGAACTAGTTCCAATATGGTTTCGTGCAAATCCCAACTAATGGAAGATGAATTCACGCGCCGTAGCGAGAATAAGGAGGTCCGAGGACTGGTCACGAGGACCAATACAACCAATTTTCACTTTACAGACGCTTGAGCGGATGGAAGTGCGGAACGCCGACATTGCCAACAACTCATTGTCTCCGAAACGTTTCTCCACAAAGCCATGATTTGAACCGCTTTCGTATGTGACACTCTAGCAGGGATGCTTTTGCTCGCCGTTAAAATAGACAGTGAGAAGACTCGTCGGAGAAGGTAGGAGAAGATACGGCTCTAAACTCGTTGATTTCCCGGTGCTTGTAGTCGTTGCTGCCGCATCAACCAGTATACTATCAGCCCTCATCTGCCGCACAAAGATTCTCATGACTAACAACGTCAATGATCTATCCAGGTCAGGACTGCTCTTGAAACAAGTCCGATGGTAACATTCGGAGACAACCATTGCGATGATAAAGGAGGATCTCGCATTTTTATTCCATCGTGAAAATGCACCTCCAACCGACTGCGGGATACCAATGTGGACGTGAGATAAGAGATGATCCCTGAAACATGAGGGCCGTTAGAGCGGAATGAACATCTCCTGCTCTCAAGACTCACACTTATGGCAATGCCACACAACCATTAAGCATTGGCACCAATCCATATGTCTCTCATCAGATCTGAATACTATTAACAGCTAGCCGCTTCGCGACAATCCGATGATGTATGGATTGTGGCGGTGAGGGACCATCGCTGAGTATATTCGTACGCCACAAAGCACCAATGATCCAAGAAGGGCTGGAGCTGAGAAGCAACGGCGGTACCAAATAAATCCGAGGAAGCTACGCACTTGTCCTTTTGAGGGGACATAACAGATAACGCATCTCGCTGGCACAAAGATGACCAGAGCCGCAGATCCGCCTGGGTGTGCTCTGCGCGGCGTTGTCTTGCGGGTGACCCGAATGCGCCCGTATCATCTTGGCATGGTCAAAAAATACCATCGGAGCATCCTTAATGAGAAATTTAGCTCTTTTATTTTAATCAGGCCGATTATTGCGAATTATCCCCATAATGAGAGGGAACGGAATGTTTTCCGTCTTCAACCAATTTCATCTTTCTACGAGAGGATATCCGAGTGCGCGCGCCCCTTTACGTAAACGACATTGAGCCATCGACGAGATGTAGCTGTGCGACAATGTAGGCGACAGGGCTCGGCCTATACCTCCATCTTGATATCATCTTGACTAGGATGGAGATATTCGGCTGTCTCTGGAAAGTTCAATATTAATGCCTCATTCAGAAGCTTGCGGTAGGACTACAAGAGAAGTGTATTAACAAGGGTAGAGCAAAACAGGGAGGTACTTACGTCAATAGCTGCTATCTTTCCGTTCATGAATTGATTCTCAGTAGCTGCTCTTTCCAGACGTTCTTTGGTCAACTGCATGGGGTTGCGTGCATTGTCGATATCAGACAAAACTTGAAAAGGTATCATGGTCCGAATGTCCTGTGCTTTGTTATCGATGGACATAAGGTGATTGACGACCTCGTTTCTGACCGTTGGGATCTTTAGGATCATAGACAACTGAACCAGTAAAAAGAACGCACGCCCCAAGGCCTACCAACTTTGCGCCACCTGGCCTATCACGATCTTTAGTGGAGTCGTTGATGACAGTGGTTCCAAGGTTGTATAAAGCGTTGGCGAGCCCAAGAAGTTCTAATTCCAAATCACCTTGGACACCAGAAGGCGGGGGTGATTGGGAAGAGCGCGGTGAATCTGGCGCATGTGAGCTCAGTGTCTGGGACTCGGGATTGTATGAGGTCTGCATGCGGTTAAGAAACTGAGATGACAAAGTATGTTTCATTGATTACTATATATATAATAGTAGTAGGGTTAGGGTTAGGACCTATAAAAATCGAAAAAAAAGACGGCCTGCCCAGCCAGAGTGGCCGTGGCAGGACTGGAAAATATTGAGACGGTGCATGAGCCGGAGCTCATACAAAGCGTGATTACCCTCTGTATGGACAAGGTCGCCGTGCTATGAAGGGTCCCCACGGCCCACAAACCCGGGTACATGAAGGAGCCTATGCCATCAAGGTAAGTATGAGTTGTTACGGTCTCAGCACCAGCCTTATATACCTTTTACACTTTGTGCACGGACCACCTTTCAGATAGTTACCATATACGGAATCTACTAAAAGCAACGAATCAAGTGGATGCGTACAGGTTGGTTCTCTGAATCTCAGCTTATATGGCTCGATGTCTCTTCATTCCAGAGATACAGTTATCCGTTTTTCAGTGGATTTTTGTACTTGACGCGAGCCATGAAAGACACGTCGCCCAAGCTACTCTTGCTGCTCTCGCAAGGACTTGTAGTGCTTTTCATCATATAGCTTTAGATATCCTCTGGCAACAATTTGGCACTATCGCAAGAGCGATCCAGTGCATGCCTCATGATTTATGGGGCGGAGACGCGATCAAGTCTGAGTCAGGCTGTATTTGTTTAGTAAGAGGATATTCTGACTGCTTTGTTTCAATTGCTGACATCGTTTGCTCGTGAAATTTGTCAGAAACTTCATAGGCACTTGACCAAAGATGACTGGAACATATTCCGCAGGTATGCTTTACGCATCCGTCACCTCAGTCTTGCCACCCAGGACGTCCGCCGCGGAAAAAAATTGATGGTTGATATTGACGATGAATTACTCGCTTGTCTCGCCTCCATGGATGCCACCCAGCCGCTCCTGCCAAATCTCACATCCCTCGAGTGGATTATCTATGACGAGAGAGACTTGAGGCTGATCCGTCGAATCATGACCAAGTCTCTCACGTCCTTATTCCTTGAGGTCTGGGCCATCTCACCAGTTCCTGACCTACTACAGTTCATCTCCTCCATCGCTCCTACGTGCCCCTCTTTGCGAAAATTGACCGTGCATTCAGTGGCCCTATCAAGTCATCTTCGCAACTCCGTTTCTCAAACTCTTTGCCATCTGCATCATCTCACTACAATTCACTGTGGAATCCTCGATGCCGAGGTTCTGAACCATTTATCACGTCTGCCATCTTTACTAGAGCTTAAACTTGCTCTCCAACCAAATGCCGAATTCCAGAACGAGCTTTTATTTGAGCAACTTCAAGTACTTGACGTGCATGCACAAGATATCCCATCCGCTGTTGACCTCGTGAGCAGAATGCGGAACAAGCTTACAAACCTTTCGATCTTCAGCGACAACCATACAGGAGCATCTGTCTTGGCACAATTATTTCGTCGCCTCTCCACTTTCGTCAGTCACGACTCGCTTCGTCGCCTCCAAATTATGGTTGCAGAACGTCCTCCACATGACCTGTTCTCTGTTTTAAAGCTGGAAGATCTCCATCCGCTTCTGTCATTCAACCGATTAACGCACGTACTTCTTGATACAGGGTGTGGGATCTCTTTGGATGATGTTGCCGCCTTAGAATTGGCACAGGCATGGCCAAATATCATGCAGCTCGTGCTGAACAAATTCCTGGAAAGCCCTCTGCCTTCGTCGATATCCCCAATCGGACTCCTGTGCTTCCTCAAGCACTGTCCCGACCTATTGGAGCTAACGCTTGAAATCGACTTCTCCTTTATTGAAGAACAAGACGACCAGTCGCACTACTGGGTCGGAGATACCACTCATCAGCATCTTTCTATTTTTGATGTTACTTATTCCAAAATCCACGATGCAGCAAAAGTGGCTGCATTCTTGTCAGGTGTCCTACCACGTACAGTTCATGTACATTATTCGTGGATCCATGCACTGGACGATCAACGGGAGTATGCAGAGAGGTGGAATGAGGCTTCGAGACTCTTCATGCGGATGAAGAGGTGAGCAAGTATTAATCACTCGTTACTGTTAAGTAGGCAATTTGGAAGAGGAAATCGTCGTTAATATAGGTATGAGTATATATCTCAATCTACACACCTACCTACATACCATATTCAACTTACATACCCTTTAGAATATTCTGTCGATAACAAAATACAATATCTACTAGTTCTTTCCTGTGCAGGGGCTGGTGAGGACCTTCACATGCTTACGTCATTACACCTTCTGTCCTTGACATAAACCTCCTCCTGAAGAACGGTCCTCCTGATGAGCGGACTGGCTGACGAACTCCTTGCTGACATTGACGATCTGTCAGACGGTGGTGCTGAGGAATATGAAGAGTCCGCTCCAGCAGCTGCGTCCTCCACGAGTAACGGCACCAACGGACTGAAAAGAAAGGCTGTCGAAGATGCAGACATGTCAGAGGCAGAGGAAGGCGCCGAGGGCGAAGAAGCCGAAGCAGACGAAGCTGGCGGATTAGTCCTCGAAGGCGGGATGAAGCCCGCAGATGAACTTGATGCAGAGGATGTACAGCGAATGGACTTGGGAGGGATCGAGGACGTCGACTCCGTAGCGAAGCTAGAAGGCAGTAAACGAATGGCAGACATATTACAGGCATGCACCGATGCTATTTGATGAACCCATGTTTGAGCTCACTTTGCGTTCAGGAAATTGAGAAATACCAAGCTAATCCCAGTACACCGGAAGCGATGTCACTACCAGCTCATCTGAACCCGGAATACACTCTCATCGTGCAAGCAAACAATTTATCCGTGGATGTAGACAATGAGATTCTCGTGGTACACAAGGTATGGTTTGTGGTTGTTAATGTCCAACCCCCTGACTTCGTGTCTGTAGTTCATACGCGACCATTATGCAGCAAAGTTTCCAGAGTTGGAGCAGCTCGTTCCAGAGCCTGCACAGTATGTCCGCGCGGTTCGAGTTCTCGCCAACACAGAGGTAAGAACGGGTTCTACGCAAACCATCTCTGCTCACTATCGACTTACAGGACCCTACAAAAGCTGACCTTGCAGGTGTTCTTCCGCCTGCGGTGGTCATGAGTGTGCTCATAACTGCAACAACAACAAGTGGTCAAACACTTACTGATGCCCAGTGGGCTGCTGTCGAGAAAGCTTGTGATCTTGCAGACAAACTTGAAGAGGCACGTAAAAAGGCGAGTAAATGTCTGTTCTGCACCATAAACGTGGTAGCTAATGAAGGGAGAGCAGATTTTCATGTACGTCAGCTCAAGAATGAATGTTCTGGCACCAAATCTTTCAGCCATCGTTGGCACCACTACAGCTGCAAAATTACTCGGTGTGGCAGGCGGCCTTGGTCCCCTCGCCAAAATGCCCTCATGTAATGTCCATGTATGCTGCAGTTTTACTCTGCCTACATTATCGTTCTCACAATTTCTCGTAGCTGCTAGGCGCTCAGAAGAAAATTGCTCTAGGCTTCTCTGCGTACACTCAACGGCGGCACACCGGTTTCGTCTTCCAGTCTGACTTAATCCAGCAGACGCCAGCTGAATACCAACTCAAGGTTCAGCGGACAGTCGGAGCGAAATCCGTTTTGGCTGCACGCATGGACCTCGAACGGACGCGAAGAGATGGTCAGTTTAGTTCTTGGGTGTTGACGGGTCCCTGGCTGATGGTATACCAAGGTTCATATGGCGAGGAACTTCGTGAAAAAATCGAAAAACACATCGATCGGCTGGCGGCGCCACCCCCTGCTAAAACCACAAAGGCGCTTCCCATACCCAACGATGGACCAAAGAAACGTAGAGGCGGCAAGCGGCAAGTCGTCCCTGGAATTTTACATCGTTCTCGCTGACACACTTGTAGGGCACGCAAAGCAAAAGAAGCGTATGCCCAGACGGAACTCCGGAAGCTGCAGAACCGAATGGCATTTGGTGAGGCTGAGGATGAGGTTGGCGCATTCGATCAGACTAAGGGTCTGGGAATGATCGGTGTTGGTACGGGCAAGGTCCGGGCTGGTATGGGAGAGGCGAAGAGTCGTGGTGAGTATTCTACCTCCTGTTTCGTTTTTTTCGAGATCTAAAACGTGTCAACCCCCGCAGCGAAACTCTCCAAGGCGAACAAGTTACGCACTGCAACGCTTACGCGTGCTGCACAGGGCGGGTCGTCAACATCTGGAACAGCAACATCGCTGACGGTCACACCTGTACAAGGTGAGAACCCTTGTGGAGCTGGCGTGGAATGAACCACTTATATTTTTTTCATAGGCTTCGAGCTCACAAATCGTGCTGCTGCTGCTCAACGAGTGAAGGAAGCAAATGAACGCTGGTTTGCATCCGGAAATTTCTCATTTGTAGGACAGAAAGGCACGAACAGCAGGGTCTAAGGCAGGGCATTCGTCTCATCAACTATCTTACGCACACATTATGTAGCTTCAGTTGCTCTGGGCAATACGCATAGCATTAAAATTATCATTGCGACGTGGTAATACAACTGGCTACTAATCGATAATCATCCGACCTAGGTCATTTTGAGAAATATGTGAACATAAATGCAGGAATTGATACGAACATGGATATGAGGAACAAACAAAATGATGGGACGTGCACGAAGACAGCACATGGAAAAACATCGACCTGAGAAAACGTCTATTTATGCAGGCATACCGGGATGTGCAGTGGCCACCGTCTCCCCGGAAATCACACTCTGGGTTACATCGATGAAGCCTGATTTTTGACCTTCGGTCAGTTTACTCCGCTTTAACCGATAATCCCGAATAGCGGAACGAATAGCATCCTCTGCTAGCACTGAAATAGCGCATGTTAGATGTCTTCACGAATGTGCTGTGAGAAAAGACTCACTTGAGCAATGGAGCTTCACAGGAGGAAGACACAACTCCTTTGCAATTTCAGTGTTCTTAATTTTGCCAGCCTCCTCAAGGGTAAGACCCTTGACGCGCTCAGTCATGTATGAACTCGAAGCGATGGCACTACCGCAACCAAACGTCTTAAACTTGACATCACTTATGATGCCGCTTTCGTCTACTCTGATTTGGAGTTTCATGACATCTCCGCAACTGATCCATAGACATAAGTCAGGGTTTAAAGGCTAACGAAAGGAGAAAAAACTTACGCAGGTGCCCCAACCAACCCAGTACCGACATCAGCGTCGTGTTTGGGTAGAGAGCCCACCTGGAATAACGGGACTATGGTGAGTCCTCGTAACCGAACGGTTTTAAAAACACGACTCACATTTCTTGGGCTCTCGTAATGCGAAATGACATTCTCGTGGTAGCCACGGGCGAGCACTGGTGCAATACCAACTCTTGCAGCCTTTGGTGCTATTGCAGAGCTGAGTCCTGTCTTTGTGAGTGCTGAGCGGAACATGGTGGATAATGAAAGAGAAGTGCGAGAAGATCCAATTTCAGAGCGCCTATTAAGAAAGGGTTTTCGGAGTTCGAATAACGTCACAGTGGGAATCTTATCTGACAAACATTTCTCTTATCTGATTTGGTCTGTGGGGGTTACAATTCTGTTTTAGGCAATCATCGTCATTGACAACGCTACCCACCATAATTCATCGCTAGAGTTTTTGGCAAACGCGGCAGGCCGCTGCAGGCCCGCAGTTTACTGACATATCCCCAGGGATTCCAGCCTATTTTTGACCTACGCAACGAGAAGATGAATTCGGGGATTTCGGGCGCGTGGGTAAGCTCGTGATCAGTAGCTGACGTACCTAGTCAGAGAATTTTGACGTAGTCGCACTCACACTGTCGATCTCGTGGCAGACTGTGCACGACGGAGTTTGAATTCAAATATGCAGTATCTTATTTTAATTTTATAGTGTTGCACCCCACCGGCACAACCGGCACTCGCATATTTTAGAACTCCGTGCTTCGCCTCCGCGAGCCAAGACATGGCGACAGCACCGGCCCCTAACAAGGACTCGTGAGAGTAAATTACCATTCCCGTCAGTCTTACTATCAGGGTTCAGCATCTCATTGAAGTGAAGTCCAATTGATCATGTCTCTGGCGCGTCCTTCAGCGGCTCAACAGCCTGCTGACACTCTTCCACCAACAGCAAGAGCAATTGCTCTTCTCCTTGCATCTACGCCAACGGTACAAGATGCGCAACCAGGCGTTTTGCATCAACTCCTGGAGTTCGCCCACCGGTATACCGCCCAAGTACTGTCGGATGGACAGTTATACGCAGAGCATGCAGGGCGCTCCGGCGCGTCAAAAATAGAGATGGATGATGTTGTCCTCGCTATACAAGCCCGCGTGGGCTGGGAGTTTGGTGGTCGCGTACCCAAGGAGGTGAGCTGATCATACTGTCCGCTTCATTCGCCTGGCATCCTCAAACGCCTCCCTGCAGTATATTTTGTCATTAGCATCTCAGACGAATGCTACACCACTTCCTTCTGTGCCAGAAGTCTTCGGTGTTAGGCTCCCACCCTCATCCGAGACACTTACTGCTGTCAACTTTAATCTCGTGCCCAATAAACCACCACCAGAAGCGAAACTTTACGACGAGGAGGTCGAAGAGATTGAGGAGGAAGACGACGACGACGACGACGAGGACCTACCAGACGGTCAGGATGATGATGAGGATGCTGATATGGAGCCTGCTGCCATACCATACACCAATGCAGCTCCCATAACACCGACCGATGTTGACATCAGTGCTGGCACACCTTTACCTGTCGTCGCAGCAGAAGCACTAGAAGAAAACAGCGACGCGGAAGAAGCGGATGGTCTATTTGGTGGAGAAGGTGATGATGACGACGATAATTCAGGTGATGACGCAATGGAGGAGGTGCAGACTACTGGAGACACACAAACAAACGGTGTGAAGCGAAAACTTGTCGAGGAGGATGACTATGACTAGAGACTTGAACACTCTGATTAGGTTTTCTTGCGACGGTTGAGAGGTGTATTGAACATGTATTGTAGCCTACTCTAATATGTATATGCTATAAGGTCCGCAGACTAACCGCTGCAATAAACGTTCTGATAGTAACATAACGCCTACTTTTGCAATAAAAATGCCACCAATATCACAAGAAGGGCCAGAATAACCAAAATAATCATGGTCCATGCTGTAGATTGCTTGTCAACTTCACTGCCACTAAGGTTCAATTAGAAAAGCTTACGTTGGCCTGCAAAACTCTCTGGTACAGTAACGATCCGTATCGAGTTGTCAACACCACCGGATACGAGCAACGTTGAGGTAGGGCTAAACCGAACAGTGGTTATAGGGAACTCGTGCGCTTTGAGTATGGACAAGAGCGGCTAAGGTTCGATATGAGTGCATGATCACAGAGTTCATTGGTGACTTACGCTCAGAGTAGTACTGTCCAGTATTCCCAACGTATAGTCTGATGAACCGAAAGCAAGGAACTTCCCATTGGGACTGAAAAAGAAAGAAATAGTCTGAGACGGACACGACGTGTGCTTTTGACATAATTAACCACAGACCTAACGTCCAAACACGTCAAGCCGCCTTCACCCGCTTTGCGGGAGCCCTCCAGTGACATGGGCCGAGCAGAATTCTGCTCTCCACTTAGGTCGACTCTCCATTTCAATATGTAGGCCTGCATTTTGGCCATCTTGGATTTCTTCGCACGAGGCGCAGCAGTATTGACGGCCGTAAACAGCGTGCTGAAGTCTGAAGGGTGAAAGCTGCAATAAAATTATAATCCTACATGCTAATGTCTATTATTTCACTCACCGCGCGGCGCGAAATGTTACAACGGACTGTGCAGGAGCGCCAGGAACCGAAGGAATATCGACCGTGTCCACAAGCCGCAGTTCAGGAGTCTGGCTCGGTGTCCTAGAATGTACTTCCTTCTCCTTTCCTTTACTTTTCTGTTTCCCCTTTTTCTTCTTTGGTGTTTTCTCACCATTATCTTCCGATGGTGGCTTCGGAAGTGCGTATACTAACAGGTTCAGATTGGTGGCTAGTACAAGCTGGGAAAGGCGTCGTGAGGAACAGATGATATGAATGAGATGAAGACGCACGTGTGTTGGCGAGAATGTCACATCGTAAATTTCACCTTTGGGTACTTGAACAGACTGAGCAACAGGCAAAAGAGAAGGGAATGCGAGAAGAGATAACTACAACACAATGTTAGTCCATGCAAACAACAATAGTGCTGTCTTTTACATCACGTTCGCCGGCCACTGCCAGGAGTTTTCCATCCGGTGATATGACGGTTACACGCTGCGTTGTCTATGTAAGATCTAGAGTAAGTTCAACAAAGAATGAGCTACCTGGTAGTCCTCAAGCGCTCCCGAGGGCAATGTACCCCGTGTAGCTCCTTTAATTAGGCTGTAAGGAATGGTCAAAATTGTGTAAACATAAACGCGATAGATCGTACGCGTTTCCAGAATCACTAATTGAAAACACCCTGCAATTCTCATTTTCATCTCTTTTTAAGCGTTCTTCGGAACTATTAATTCCACAGACAAAGCTTCTGCTCTATGGATGTTTGAGAACCTTATTCACCGTCAAAAAAGTAGTGTCACAGACCTCTGGGTGAGCTGCAATACTCATAGGGGCGTCCTCGCCTTTCTCAAGCTCATGCTCACAGAGCAGTTTAAGCTGTCTGTCTTGAGAGACATTGAATAGCCTCTACCCCACATACGTCAGACTGTAATTTTGAATATAGTTACAGTTACTCACCAATTTGTTCTTAATCCCAGACTTGGCAGCGCCGCCTCCGCCTCCGACGACCATCTGGTCGGAGGCCACGAACGCACATGAATACACTGGAAACGCGGGAAGTGGGTGAGTAGAATGCTGCGCGCGCATTGTATGGCCGCGAGTCGGCTAATTGAAAAGAGCGTAATATAGGGTGGTGGAGTAATACAGTAAAGCTGAAGCTGATATAGCACGGGGTGACCGGGTGTACTTAGTAGCTCGCTGACGGAATGAAACTCTGCACTTCAAAGCGCGACGTGTGCATTGTAACTAATAAACGTGCGAATGACCTTCCAAACACGTGCGATCATAAAAGTACTTATCCTAGCCGTGAATGACCCCCGACTAACCTTAACTTAATTGTGTTGTAGCGCTTGTGCACGACGTCTGACACGTAGAGTCTGCAGTCGCAGACGAGCTGTAGGCCGACTGACGATACCCCCGACTGACTCTCCTCCGTCAGTAATTTAGTTATTCTCAAATTGGCTAGTTCACTGACAGTAAAGGGGATGTCGGCCATGTTGTCCTGACTCTTAGGCTGTTGTTCGTTCTTGAGTTATTGCGGACATGGACTTATCATCATGGTTCAAGGGCAAAAACCACACGGCCAGCATCGATGAGCCGGGTATTGACCTGCCGCACCTCACATTGCAGACTGGCATCGGCATCACAGTAGCCATTGCGGGGAACGTGCTTATCTCGCTTGCGCTTAATTTACAAAAGCTTGCACATATCCGACTCGAAAAAGCTCAAAAACAGGCGAGGATGGAACGCGAATTACATATATCGGGCGATGCACGGCGTTCCAGAACACCACACGATCAGAGGCCTTCTGGCGATCCCGCTACTGGCTCTCATGAGTCCGAGACACAGCCCTTGATCCAGGGCTCTTCTGCCAGTCATTCACGTGCACGCTATGGCACTAGTACCTCACCTGGGACTAGACGCGATGATTCGAGGAGCAGGAAGAGCACTTCTTCAGCGCGTGGACGGAGGCCGGGACAGCCTTCAAGGCAATCCAGCTTGGTGTCGCGTTTTATTCCATTTCATCTCGGCCAGCCCGGTGGCGTTAATGAAAATGTATCACATACCCAAGAAACGTTGGCGATTCCAGTAGACGTGATCCCAGCAGAACGCATAGTTGCACTGAACGGCAATGACAGGCGGGCACCTCCCTCACCTGAGCTCTGGGAAGAAGAAGGTACGGAGAGTGACTACTTACGTTCGAAGATATGGTCAGTTCTTGATATAATTCTAGAAGGTACTGCCACTGATAACGTATGGTTTCAGGTGGTCTGGATTCATTTTAATGAACATTGGAGAAGCGGGCAACTTCATATCCTATGCGTTTGCACCAGCCTCTGTGGTCGCTCCTCTAGGCACTGTCAGTATATTCTGTTAGCTGTTTCCATCTTTACTTATTCATATTGTAGTTCGCACTCATTGCTAACTGCTTCTTCGCTCCACTCATTCTGAAAGAGCGTTTTCGCGTGGTAAGATTGTACCTGGGCTGCTGTCGAATCATGTTTATGGGATTGTTTTCAGCATGATCTCGCTGGAATCTTGTGCGCAATGATAGGAGCGATCACTGTCGTTCTTTCTACGCCTTCCACTGATGGAGGTCCGCCGCCGCCCCTTACACCAGAGGCCCTGATTGCAGCTATATCACAACGTTCGTTTGTAGTATTCACTATTATATACCTAGTAGGGGCCGTGGTACTAGCGGGGCTCAGCGAAGGTGGTTTCGGTAGGCGAATTGTGGTTGTTGACGTCGGGCTTTGCGCAATATTTGGTGAGGTCAGTTTGAATCGCACCAAATATGAGCTCATAAGAGCGTCAGGTGGATTCACAGTTCTAGCAACTAAGGCTATCTCCACGTTGCTGACGGAAGAATGGGGCAAAATATTTGCGGAGTGGATAACTTATCCTGTCCTTGCGGTATCTTAGCGTCGCTTTTCATTCCGTTTAATGTGCTGATCCTGTTTAGGTTCTAATCATCACAGGCATTCTCCAAATCCGGTTTTTGAACCGTGCGCTAAAGCGTTTTGACTCCAAAATTGTCATACCTACGCAATTTGTGCTGTTCACGCTGTCTGCCGTTATCGGATCCGCTGTTCTCTACAAGGACTTCCAACGGGCTACATTCCACCAGATGGTCACATTTACGTATGGATGTGGTGCGACATTCGCGGGGGTGTTCATCATAGCGTGGGCCAATGGGAACAACCGCGAAGAAGTAGGGCACCCCGCCAATGAGGTTAGCAGGCAAACAGGCGACACAGGCGAGCAAATCGCACCGAGTGGAAGCGTGCGGGGCGTTCCTGTAGGCTCATTGAATGCACGAAGTCGCCCGGCTCTTATAATACCGAGAGCTGTGCGCGAGACCCCGGTGCTCAGGAATAAACCAAGCACGGTGAGCTTGGCAGGGTATTCTCCTGCACGAAATCTGCTACTTGTTCATACCCCACCAAGGGATCGAGCGGATTCTTGGGATCGGGACGTGGAAAGTACTAGTGGAAGCATTACTTGAAGCGATTTATGATATTAATATTTTAATATTATACTTATTAGCAGCGCAGTTCGGGGCAAATAGAGTCATGCGCTATTTTAATACAAATCAGGCAAAAGGCAGTGACGTGACTGGAGTCGCTACAAGTGACGTCACTTGAGAGGCTGGAATGACAAAAAGGCTTCTGTCGGACGCACTCCGTACCGCCAACTCATTATTTCCAGTCCACTATTCTTACAACCATGCCAGCTGTCGTAGACGCTTTCAAGAGTACGTTTTATTTTATTTGGGAAGGCAGTCATCTAACCCTCACCAGATCTCATCCGCAAACATCATCACCATCGGCATCCTGACTCTGACCCCCAACCATACACGGCGCCTGTGCCAGAGTCAAATCACCAGGCTCAGCATCGACAACAACAACAGGAGTCGCAGCAGCAGGCTAAGCTACGAGCTGAACAGGAATCTCAGAAACATCAGCAACCTGAGAAACAGCATCAACTTGAGAAGCAACAGCAGCAGCCTGAGAAGCAGCAACAACAGCCCGAGAACATACCTCAGCCTGAGCCCGTACCTGACACCCGGCATCAAAAAATCAACACCCCCGTACCTGAGGATCGAGAGCCAAAGAACAAACTGCCCACCTACAAAGGCTTGGAGAACTTCAAGCTATTGGATAAGATGGGAGAGTGAGTGTCATATCATCTGTCACTGCTAAATATTTAACGTCTGACTTTTTATTTAGTGGCGCATTTTCAAATGTTTACAAGGCAATAGATCTAACAACTGGGCAGACAGTCGCAGGTTTATTTCTTTGATTTTTCTCCTGTTATAACCGGCTGATAAACTTATCCATAGTGAAAGTCGTTCGTAAATTTGAGTTGAATGCTTCGCAGGTAAGTAGATGCGTACCCCCGCCCCTCACATAGTTCACATACATTGTCCTCCACACAACTCCTGTCCCACCTATCGGCTTCGGTTCATGACACTCCTACATTGCTTGTGCCTTGTTGTCCCTCTGTTAGGCCGGCGAAAAACATCTCAATATTCAGTTCAAGAAAAAGCCGCGCGTAACAGAGGTGACATTTGGAATTGAACGGTTCCACATATCGCTAACTGTGCTATCTTCATGCAGCGAGCCAATATTTTGAAAGGTAAGCGGTCATGTTGTTTTGATCATTCCCGGCACTTATCTAGATTGCAGAGGTGCAAATCATGAGGGGAACAAATCACCCATCGATCGTAAAGTTGATCTCATTTTCCGAATCACAAGAACACTATTTTCTGGTTATGGAACGTATGTGTGATTGCGATCTTTCCTGTGTCAGTAACTCAAAACCGCACGCAGTCATGGAGGGCGGGGAGTTGTTCCACCAGATCGTCAAATTGACGTATTTCAGTGAGAATTTAGCAAGACACGTGATTCTCCAGGTTGCACAAGGTATTCGTTATCTTCACGAGGAACGTGGTGTTGTACATCGGTATCTGCATTTTTTGTGGAGCAATGACGTTCGCTGACATTCAGTTGTCATAGGGATATCAAACCGGAAAATTTGTTATTCGAACGGATACCTATCATTCCTTCAAAAGGTTCCGTACAACGTCCGTATGACGAGGAAAAGGAGGATGAAGGCGAATTTGTCCCAGGCGTTGGTGGAGGCGGAATCGGGCGAATCAAGATCGCAGATTTTGGCTTATCAAAAGTGATCTGGAACGAAGAAACGATGACGCCATGCGGAACTGTTGGCTATACCGCCCCCGAAATCGTCAAGGATGAACGTTATTCACAAAGTGTGGACATGTGGGCACTTGGTTGCGTCCTTTACACTCTTCTTTGCGGATTCCCGCCGTTCTACGATGAGAGTATCAACGTCTTAACAGAGAAAGTCGCGCGGGGATATTACACATTTTTGAGTCCGTGGTGGGATGACATCACCCATTCTGGTATTTTTTTCGAACTTTTTATCTAAAATACGATTATTGACTGGTGCTCAGCGAAGGATCTCATCCAACATTTGTTATGCGTGGACCCTGCTCAGAGATATACCATAGATGAGTTCCTTGCTCACCCGTGGTGCACTGCCGCTCCTGCCCCTCCACCAGTATCATCCACTCCTGTTTATGTCAACTCTCCTCCGCTTGACTCTCCTCTGCTTACCGCTGCTCGTGGTGGCGTTTTAGAGGCTCGTTCTCCTGGTCTTGCAACGCTCAAGGAAGCATTCGACATTACCTATGCAGTCCACCGTATGGAAGAAGAAGGTGCACGTAGGCGTGCATACAATGGTCGCGGCGGTGCCGGTATCCGAGGATACCTGCATGGACTTAATGAGAACGAGGAAGACAACGTCGACGACAAAGTCCTCGTCCACGATGCACGGAACAGGAGAGGGGAGCTTGAGATGCGTACACCAATACCGCTTACCTTGAGTGGCTTACCTGGCGCCGGGGCGAAGACTGTCGCAAAGCGCAATGTCATCGGTGGACCTAACCAAGCAGATCGCAGTCTTTTGGACGGTCGCGCTGGCCCAAGAGATCGCGGCCGCCGTCAACCTGGTGGCCAAGGTTTCCAGTTAGATATGGACAACGCAACCCTACTTGGTCG